CTTTTTTGGTCTGTCAGCCATGTAGGTAAGTCTACGTACTGAGATCCGCAAATTGGTATATATTTGTTGATATTAACTTTAAAGTAGCTACATCTTACAATGCTCAACCGCTTTTCTCCCCTGTCCAACCTTCAAGTTTTCCCCAGTGCAATTATCAATTTCCTTTAACACGTCTTCAGTATATGTTGGTTCTGTAACAACTTTGTTTCCGCGTGATATTTTAAAATGTTTTTGAATCCATCTGGATCTTGGGCTGACTATCGATGTGGTAAGTACTCCACCCAATGCTTTTTTGGTTGGACTACTTCAAATTTCTATTCATTGTTTCTCCTGGTTTTTTCTTCCACCCTTTTTTAACAAATCTTTTTTGTTTAATCTACTGTTCCCCTTTATTCCTGTCCCCGAAGTCATTTCTGAAGATTCCTATATATTGGTTCCTTTTGCAATAGTTAAATATCGGTTTTTGGATTAGATAAGATCAATCAGCTGAGGTTTTCTTAGCTTATAATATTCTGAAGTAAGCTTTCAATTTATTGTTATCCAATTTTATTTTTTCCAAATTAATAAAAAAATCTTCTTTTTTTTGCAATTAATTTTTTTTGGAAAAAAATTAAGTGGGGCGTAGACAGACACTTGAAATGGTACAAAATTCTCATTTTCTACTATTGTCATGCGCAAAACGTCTCTTATTTTCAGAAAATGATGAACGCATGGGCAATCGCTTGTATAATTCTAAATTTCAAAGTTCACCCAAATTTTAATATTTACAACAAAGGCTGCGTCGATATATTTATCCCAAATGAAACTGACACACTCATGCAAGTGCAGTGGTTAGCACTGCGCGATTTGAACTACACCTTTTCATTGATCCCATTTAATGACACGTTACGTTTTTGTAAGTTATTATCAAAATCTTTCCAGAGTGATTCTCTCCTCCCTAGACCAAGCAGTGTTGTGGTCAATGATGGTAATAGTCAGTCGATTGAGATTTGCCTTAGCGTGGCAAGGGGATCTCAAATGTCGACTGAAAGGAAGGACTGGCTTACATTGATAGTCACTACGATGGCCGTTCAATCGTTTATGAAATGGTTGTCTGACTCGCCAACATACTGTTTACCACATTTACACTGTAGAAGATACACAGTATAAGTAGTCTTGCAAGTATCATTGCAAAATATAGTGTACTTCGTACCAATGGAGTAACTGTTAAAAGTCTGAGTATTCAGTATTTGCTTGCAAGTCAGATATCGTTTGTTGCAACAACCTTTCCAAAAGTCCACTGACGAAAAGTCTGCTTTAGAGGATAAATCAATTATCACCAGCAAGTCTTTAATAGATATAAGAAGATGTGGTATGAGTGCCAATGAGACAACTCTCCATCCAAGTCAAAATTTATAAAAGTAAACCATTATAGGTCACAGTACGGTCTTCAACACGGAGCCTTGGCTCACACCGAACAGTAAGCTATAAAGGGCCCCAAAAAATTACTAGTGTAAAACCATTCAAACTTGAAAACCAACGGTCTAATCTATATAAAAAACGAGAAACGAGAAACACTTATGAACCACATCAACAAACGACAACTACTGAACATCAGATTCCTGACTTAGGCCTATACGGAAGGCCAGTATACGGGTGGCTCAGGGAATATCTTGGATAGTTTAGAATAACATCGTAGTGACTACCAACCTTATCTCATGTTGATTTCGCAGTCTAAGTAGGATTTTTTAGTTGAAATGTCGAAGATTAACTTTAACCTATGAGAATTAAAATTTAAGTGCAAACTTGAACTCGACCTGCAATTCAATCTGATTAAAATAAAGATCCTGGGTCAACGATTCGTGTAAAGACAGAGCCTTGACACAGGATCTGTATTTTAATCAGATCAGATTGCCTTCAATTCGAACCCGTAAAGAACTCGAAATTAACTCTATCTCTAAACCAAACTGGAACTCAATATAAAAAAGGGAGATGTGGTATGATTTCCAATGAGACAATTATTCACCGGAGTTCAAATGATGTGGATGTAAGCAATTACTAGTAAAGGCAACCATACGGCCTTCCACAATGAGAAAAACTCATACCGTATAGTCGACTTTAATTTGTATTCTTTTCAAACAGTTTTTTTTTGGGATGTATAAATACACATCCACGTTCATTTTCTATATAGAGATAACTCTATCTATATATTATATTATACATATTTATTATTAGGTTAACTCCTAACTATCCTACTGCCTGTCGATACTTTTATTTTGGCATTGCACAAGTCATGTCTTCTTTGACTGTCCGTGACGTTAAAACACTAAATCTCAGGGATGTGTTTTAGTTGATTTTAGTCTCTGATGCATGATTTTTTTATTATTAATTGTTTTTGGCTTTTAACTAGCTTTCAGTAACTGCAAGTACTCTCAAATCGTACCCTGGTGTTAATTTGACCTGTTGATACTATTTGTAATGTATTTTTGTTATTTAATGTTTACTTATTCAGTATTATATCTAGTCTCACTATTTTTGATATTACCATCTTTGATAAATGTTTAGAATGACGATAAATTTTCACTTTTGTTCTCGTACTAGGAACAACAAAATTATTTCCGTACTCCATGTATACCTTACAACAATTTGTTTTTATTTACCTGCGCACGTTATTTTATTTGGCGGCATTTTGTCCAAGGTTATGGTTGTCTTTCTGATATTGTTTTAAATCTAACCCCCTTGTTTTATTAATTTTGTATTAACATTGTGTCATAGATCAAATTAATTCGTTCAGTGTATGTTCACTTGTTTTTGTTGATATGTCTTTTGATTGAGTTAGGCCATTTCAATTGATATTTTATAGTATGTCTTTCTGTGTTGTGATGTTACACTATTGTTTCAGGTAGAGTGAACGTTGGCGCCTAAAACGTTTAAACCCGCTGCATTTGTTTGCACCTGTCCTAAGTCAGGAACCTGATGTTCAGTGGTTGTCGTTTGTTGATGTGGTTCATAAGTGTTTCTCGTTTCTCGTTTCTTTTATAGATTAGACCGTTGATTTTCCTGTTTGAATGGTTTTACACTAGTCATTTTTGGGGCCCTTTGTAGCTTGCTGTTCGGTGTAAGCCAAGGCTCCGTGTTGAAGGTCGTACTTTGACCTATAATGGTAAACTTTTACAAATTGTGACTCGGATGGAGAGTTGTCTCATTGGCACTCATACTACATCTTCTTATATCTATTTAAAAGGCCCCGATATGAAAACTGCGAAACAATTTAAACGAGAAAACTAACGGCCTAATTTATAACTTATTATACTTTATAATCTATTTAGTTTACGAAAAACAAATATGACAGACATATACCATCGAAAACCATTGAACTATACATATACAGGCTCCTGGTTTGGGACAGTCACACGAAGAATGTGGCGGGGTTAAACATTTTTTAGCGTTCAATTTTTTCAAGATAGTTTAAGATTTCAGACTTTTAGAAATACTAATTGCGTTTGTTTAAATTTCAAAATATGACATACATTTTCCTTTTTTAATTTAAAATTCAAAAATTTAAAGCTAAATAGAAAATTCAGAGTTATGAAATTGTTGGCAAATATTAAAATTATAAAAAAAAAAAGCAAACTCAAACGATTTTTGCATTTTTTACTTTTAAAATTAAAAATATTGAAGGCTCAAACAAGAACACGTGCTTTAAAATTAAATGTATAGGTCATCAAAGTTGATTTCAAGTTACAAGTAACGCATAGAGAGTAATGCAGAATTCTAATATTTTGTAGTGATTATATTGAAAATAAACGGATGGTTTAAAATGATGTACAAGTTAAATATGAAAAAAATTATATTTTGAAGACACTTTTTCCAGAGACATGTCATGGTTGTCTTGTTTTTCCAACCCAAATTGTTTTGGAATATGCTGATTTGAGTAAAATTTGAATCAGAAGGGTAATGTGAACAGAATATACGTGAAAACCGTATGATTTGTTTGAAAAATAAAGAGAGCAGCATGATATCATTACGTCATGAAAATGCGGGAAAAACGTGGTCCGGGACATTTATCTCGTTTTAAACCCTCCACAAACGTTCTTGCTTCCGTATTTCCCCCAAAACTCACCCCATATTTTCGCACGTGTCCACATAAGAAGTTATACTTACCCCCTCAGTTTCGTGTATTAAATTATAAATCATAAAAATGTAAAAGTGAATACTATACATTTATTTCCCGTGCCGGAGGGAGATATGAAGATTTGTTCACCCAAGAATATTCATATTTCACGAGGGCTCTGCCCGAGGGAAATATGATTTTTCGAGGGTGAGCAAATCTTCATATCTCCCGAGGCAAAGGGAAATGAATGTTTTATTCCACTGCCTATGCTTTGTTTACTATCAATACATTAAATATTATTTTGCATACATTTTTTTTCTTAACCGCTTGTTTTTGTAAGTCAAACCGTAAACACGACTTACCCATTGATAAATAGTAAGGATCAAAATTTAATTATAAGTCTTTTTGTTTTATCGTCTGAAATAAATTTGAACATTATAATGATTTTTGCTATCGCTATTTTAAGAAGAATAAGAAGTTCAAAACGTCGCGTACATTAACCGCGCGTAACGTCGCACGAAGTAATCCCGACATTTCAGAGGGGAATATGATCCTCAGAATGGAATATGAAGATTTGTTCAATGACACGTGGGATAGTCTCAACCAATCAAATATTGATTAAACTATCAATATGTTTAAACAGTGGAATAATATATTAGATCATATTACTGACTACAGATATTTTAAATTAAACATTGTCGTTATTACGAATAAAATATCATTACAGACACAAACGACTGTTGATAAACTTACTAAATTATGAAACTCCCTGTACATAACCCCTTACTGTATGGAGTGATATCGGATGAGACAACAAGACCACACCCTCTGACCTTTTTCGAAAAATCGCGCGCTTCTTATTGTTTACAACACATGCGCAATTCAGGTTAAAAAAAGGTCACTGCTAATTCAGGTGTGAAATTATGACTAAGGACGAAAGGTGCTACAAAATGATTTGTTTATGTTATGCGATGATTAGATAACGGTGGAAAACATATAATTAACTACTTTTATAATTAACTTTAAATTTGAAATTATTTTTCTAAAAGAAAAAAAGGATATGTGACTTTTAAATGAAGTTTTACGGTGTGAAAATGTGACATTTTTCAACAAATCAACAACATGGGTAAAGATCAAGATTTTTTACAGGCGGTGAAAGATAGAGATATTTCTCATTTGCAAAAACTGCTTGCTAAAGCTGGAAAGCATGGCAAAACAAGTAAGTCATAAAAGTATGTGTACGGTTTAATTTAAAAAGAAACATCGAATTGACATTAAACATGTAATTTACTATTGATTGTCTCCCCTGAATTACAGGTATGTTAAAGCTTATCAATTGCAGTTGCATCATACCCAATATCATGTAATTTTACAGGTGATTTTTATTTTCTAAATTGTTATATATGTAATTATCAGGCATGGTGCAACTCACCAGAATGAGAGATATTTTCCAAGTTTTGAAATATATTTTCATCGAATTAACACATTTTTATGAAAATTTAGTTACTATTAAAAAAGATGAATTGACTTCAACTGAAATATTTAGAAGTTACAAGCCTATAAAAACTTACCAAAACTGACATTTACAAGATGTCTGGTGACGAACTTTTTAAAACTGCATGAACATGATCATGAAGATTAAATTATTTTATTTTAAAAATTGTTTCATCTTTTATAACTGCACTAAAATGCTAAAAGAATCAAAATTTAAAATACATTTTCAATGCTTGAAAAATATCTCCAAAATTAATAATAATATAGTGAAACTTTTTTTCCAATTGATAGATGATTCTGGCAAACCATATTATGTTTTTTGCTACATGTTTATGCCTAAAAAAATGTTTTTTCATCAGACTGAAATAAATGGACCTGATGGGATGTAATATCCTGTTTGCAATATAATACTTCAAATTGGAATGGGATATAAATTATGTTCAGAATAATATTTTAGATTTCAGCAAATTGTCAAAAACAATTAACCGTTGTATTAGATTTTGAATATGCATGATCCAATTAAGAATCTGATCTTTGTATACAAGGGTATTTTTAAAGCTTTGAATTGTCTTTAGTCTAGACAAGTTGTGAAGGAAATCAACATAGACCATCAAATAAAGGCATCAAAGATATCCCATCAACATAACATTTCTTATTCTGGACATGCAACTACAAACATTGAACAACGGCATACATTGTAGTGTCAATTTTCAAAGGTTACTAGTTATTTTAGTACATGTACTCAACTCTCCATCGCATTTGGATGACCTCATGATCTCATTAATAAAGATGCACATGTATTCACTAATTTGTATGATAATTAACAATATTTGTATTTGCAATATACATGTTATTAAAAAGTACGTGTAATTATGGTATAAAAATTTAACCAATTGAAAATTAAAAAAAGTTCATTTTAATGAGAAATAATATGCACATTTGGATACAATGACATTCATGTATGTACATGTATGTTTCAGAGACATTTGTTCTTAAAAATTAGCAAATTGCTTGTCTACAGAATTATTTTCTTACTCGATCTGCTCATTTCAACAACCTCAATAGGAAAGCAGTTATTTAACATATTAATGCATGTAAAAAAGTATCACATATTTTTTTCTGTAAATTGAAATTTTTGAAATGTTTATTTAATCATTTCTGATATTAATTTATGCATTTTTACATTCATTAAAACAAACTGATTAAAACTAGGTTGAGTTTCTAATTCCTTCAGTGGGATTAGTTTAATCATTATATTTGATCTAGTGAAAGAAGAGCCCTTTAATTGACTAATCTGTGTTTTTACTTAATGGAAGAATTGTCTGTTAGATACATGTACACAAGTCCATGTTTAATTCATGTTTGGTAAGACTAGAAGTAAGGGTCGAAATATGGAAACCAAATAACAAACTTCCTTTGTATTTTTTTTTTCAATAACCCTTTTTGTCTCGCCTTGATGGAGTCAAAAAGCGAGACATAGGTATGCTGTTTCCGGCGACAATGTATTAGTTTGTGATTAGGTCTAGTTTAAGGTGAACCACTAGTGGTTGGTCAATGATATTTGGTATGCAGTTGTATTAGCACTGGCACATCTCATTTCCATGGAGATTATTTGGCCCTGCCCCCTCAGTCATGGTCTATTGACTTTGAAACTTATTTATTGGCATTTGCAAGTTTCGTTTCCATGGAGATTGTTTAGCCACACCCCCTCATCATGGTTCATTGACTTTGAAACTTTTACATAGTTTACAAGTCAATGTTTGTGTTTAGGTTTGTTGAAAGGAAACGACATATGATAGTCTATGGTATTTGGTATGCAGTTGTATTAGCATTGGCACATATCATTTCCATGGAGATTGTTTTGCCTTTTACCTTCAGTCATGGTTAATTGACTTTGAATATTTGCATAACTTACATGTTAAAGTATTGCTATTTTAATTTCAACATTTGCATTATCAAAAGTACAAAAAGGCGAGACATATCTCTGTGTTAACAGTTTATTTATATATGGTGGTCCTTAATCATGAAATAGAATGAACAGTGTATTATGGGGAAGCAAGACAACTCTAAACACTTCTTAATCGCCCTGCACCAACTTGCCCCAGTGGACACTCATATTAACCAACTAGCTCCACTAATGAAAGGGAATAAAATTCTGCTGAATGAAGACTTGCCAACTCTCCACGCTTATGAGAAGGAATTCCCACTGAATCCTTAGTTCAGCCAGTTGGCATGTCTTAATATAAACAACAGGATAAAAACTGTTTATTTAGTGGGGCCAGCTGGCAGGTCTAAATTCAGCAGGATGTGACTTCTTTTAATTATAAGGCACGTTAGTACGTCTTAATACAGTTTTTAATTAATGGGACGAGTTGGCAGACAACAAGGGTGATTTAGATACCCATATGATACAAGATAGAGAACCACACTACATGATTACAGTAGTTGTCGTCTGTTTATATAGTTCATACGTGTTTCTCATTTTTATATAGATTAGACCGTTGGTTTTTCCGTTTGAATGGTTTTACACTAGTAATTTTTTGGGGCCCTTTATAGCTTGCTGTTCGGTGTGAGCCAATGCTCCGTGTTGAAGGCCGTACCTTGATCTATAATGGTTTACTTTTATAAATTGTAACTTGGATGGAGAGTTGTCTCATTGACACTCATACCACATCTTCCTATATCTACATACATTTTGTAGATTAGACTACTTTTCATTAGTTTGGCCAGTTGGTTAACATGAGTAAGTAAGTTGGCAGGAAATTGGACAAGTTTGGGTGAATTGGTTTGGGGTGAGTTGTCATGGATTCTTATTACTACAGGTGGCCAACAGATATGACAACTGTTTAAATTATTTATGAAACCTTCTCGTCCTTCCTGGTACTCTTGACTAGGCACATACATTGTACATGTACATGTTCATTTCTGATTGTTTTAAGTTGAATGGAATATTGACACGATTCAGTACCTCCATTCTCTGCACCCACATTTCTTATCCTTCCCAAAGCCCAGCTCTCATAACACTTTAAGTCACATACAGCACATCAATATACATCTTATGGATCTTAGATTTTCTGTAAAATAAGATGAATGTGAGGGTAACTGTTACTAACAGGAACCTCATGTAATGGTTCATTGGCTTAATTTTAAGTTTTATGTTAATTCCAATGTTGAGTTCGACACTTTGGTTCAGTCCAGTTCTCAGATTAAAATTTTTAAAAGTGACCACTCCCATTTTGATAGAACTTGGTGGGAGGATGGATTTGAAAAGCATTTTATGCATTTTTATAACCTGTACAACATGTATATACATTGTAGCTTCTCAGCTGAATTTGGCCACATTGTACATGCAGTTCATCCTATCATTCAGTGCTTTAAGTAACACATATATATGGTAAAGGCCAAGTTATGTGTGGATTTTAGCTTCATTCAAATAATGTAAATAAATATATGGCCTATTGCATATATTGAAAGGTATCTGAAATTAACATAACTATCTGACCACTGATAGGATGTCCAAATGTAGCTACATTAATTAGGTTGTAAGACAAATAGGTGATAAACTTAATGGCTTGAGCAGTATATTTTCTAATGATATTTAATGATAGGAGAGATGACATGGTTTATAGTAACAGCAACTTTCAGACAAGGTAAGATACAGAAATGCTGCAACAGAATTGACATTTTTGCTTATGGAAATTGTTTTGTTTAAACCACTTTCAGATATATGCAGTTGTTTTTACCAGTAAAAAAATTCTAAACACAAAATTAATAATTTACTTATTTTTGATCCCTGCTGTAACGTTGTGCGGGGGGCATTGAAATGTTGTCTATCAGAGTTAGTTCTCCAGTGGCAAATTAAAGTCATATTAAGGAAGAGAACATGTTGGTGTGGTATGAATATGAACCCTGCTTGGTACAAGATGGACGTACTGGATTGAATTTTTAAGGCTACCTATAAATGTTGACATCCACTTCATTTGAACTTTGGTGGATAGTTGTCTCATTGGCAATCATACCACATCTCCTTAATTTTATATTGTTCACTGCCTACCAGCTGTCTTAGCTCTCTCCTAAATGCCAAGTGATAAGCAGAGAAGCAGCAAATACCAATTTTATCATCTTTGGTTTTACCAGACTGCACTTGAGGCGAGTACACTACTACAAGACCACTGAGGCAGAGAAAATAGACTTGAACTTAATACATATAAATGTATAGTGTAACTGTACAATGTGTTTAAGATTATTAAGACAACAGAAAAAGTTAAGACAATGTAGGCTAGCAAAGAGCCTTTTATATTTGATTGGACCTCATTGTCCATTTTGAAAATTAAACTTTTGCCTCTAATAGGGTCTTATTTTGTCCATGGACAGTTGTTCTCTCCTGGCACTCTGGCTTCCTCCTCCAATACTAACTGGCCGCTGAAAGTGCCATTAAACGCCAACCATCATCATCTAAAATGGTCTATTAGACCGTGACTTTAGAAATTCTTTCAAATATATAGGTATATAGATAAGATCTTTGGCATTAGAATTTGAGATGCAACTGAATATTTCTAAAGCAAAAGTGAAGACATTTAATTTCCTTTTATTTTCATTGTCATGATTGTAGAATATACAAATGTATATTTATTATTTATTATATAAAAAGTAAAATAACAAAAATACCGAACTCAAAGGAAATAATAGCCTGTAAATGCATTCATTGATTGTAACCATGTTCTGTGAATGCCAGTAAAAAAGTAATATTTACCTATCTATAAATCTGACATTTACTAGTGCAGCAGATGTTGTTACACACATCATCTGGTATTAGTATTTTATGCCATGCATCTGCAGAACTTTTTCTTTATGATGCAATCATCATATTACATACTTTTTCATCTTTTAACGAATTCTTTGAACTTTTAATTGTAGAAACATGATGTTAATTGTGCCTTAGAATGTTTCAGAGTAGATTTGAAGTATGAATACCCTCATAACTTAGAATGTATTTCTTTATTTTGTTGATGGTTCCATTAAAATTCTTCAAGATTCTCTTTTCTTTGCCAGATTGTTTTGTAAATTATTAAGTAACTGGTATTTACACATAATGGCCATTTGCTTTCGCACTAATTAAATATTATATGTTTTATAGTAAAGTAAATTGTTTATATCAGATCCACAACAGGATTGTTTTTTATGGGTATACATGCAGGTCTATATAATATACCCTTTTAATATCAGACAATATCAGACATTATCCAAAAAAGAACCCATTGCATGCCTGTCACATGACAAAAGATGGATGTGATGTGTCACAGAAATTCTTGATTCTAAAAAGACAGAAATATATATTAACTTTGTAGTTTTGCAAGATATATGGTTTCTCATAGTACAATGTAGCAAAACATAGACCTTGTCATTTCTACATACAATTAACAAATATATATATTGGGATGTTTTTGAAAACAGGATCTTCTATCTGATCAGAACAAAACTTACCTCATTAACAGACACTTCAAACATGTTTGATTAAACAAGATACATGTATATTTTTTATGATCAGATTGATAATTTTGTGTTTTTCATAGCAAAATACTTTTCCCTTTTTAAATATGATATATACATGTGATTGCTTGATATCAGACCAGAATAAAACATGATTGGTTATGTATAGTGTTAATTATTTAGATCTAAGTTACCTCTTTATTTTAATTCGGTTTGATATGAATCTATAAACACTACACAATGTTAGGTACATAACACAGGTTCTGAACAAAAACTAGACATTTATCATGTTTACATGATACAACATTGAGCATGGGGGATTTTGAACTTGTACAATGTAAAAACATGAACTTTTTTATTTTCCAGAGTTACTTGGGTCCAGTAAAAGAATTAACATAGACTATCAGGATAGTGATGGGTAAGGTGCATTTTATAATGAGAACAAATCAAAAATAAATTAGGCCCAATAAAAAATACTTTAGGGATTTTCTACCTACCCTATGTTTTATACCCTCGGGAATACACCTGCCTTAAAGTTTTAATCGATACTTTTGGTAGTGAATTGTGACTAAATTACAAGGCAGGTCTCCACATATACACAAAAGGTAAGAAATCGAGTCAAATGGGAAAAAAAAATCATCTCTATATCCTAAATTATTTTCAGGAGGAAACTCTAAACACACACACTTCTTTTGTTTGGCCTTATATCTATGTAATGATAATTATTGATGAATATAATATATAATAGATGGTAACCTGTTTGTTATACATGACTATTCCTCTTTAAAGAAAGTTCATGCAAAAAATAAACCAATGTGAAGTATAGCAAAGAATACAATGAATATTATAAAAATAGATGTGTCATTTATATCGATGTCAGCAACCCAAGAAGACATAAAACAATAACGAATATCTAATATACAGCTTTTAACAATAGACCAGTATTTATACCACATGTCAAGCTTTAAACTTTCCTGAGTCACGTTACAATTTGTGAAAATTATACTTTGTGGTCCCATTAAAATGTGGTTTGGCTAGTCTATCTTGTCATTGCAATGTGTTTAGTGAAAGATTTAGACAGCCTTGTCAGACAACAACAGTTCAGCTTTATCTAATACTAAGTGTAGATGATTTGTTCAGATTATGCATATATGACTAAGAGCAGTGTTGTGTCAGGCAATTCAAAGTTTTGACGGACAATTTCAATGTAGAACTTCAGCCCTGTTTCTTTTAAATGTATGTCACAAAATCTAAATCAACTTACATTTATCAAAATTTGTATGAATGATATTCTGTAAATACAATATGTTTATAGTATATTGTCAATATTATTTTTCACACATTGATAAAAATATTAATGGTATTTAGTTTGTGAAGTGCTATACTGTTCATCAAGGTCTTTAAAGAAACTTCTGAAATATATATACTTGCAAAACAATTAGATTTTAAAAAGAACATTTTTTTTTATCAAAGTCACATTTCAAAAAGAGAATAAAATACTTTAAAGAAAAAAAAATATTTGTAGATGCAAATGAAACTGGGTGAATAAAAATATGCATTCCTGTTGATAATCCTGTTTTTCTGGAGGACAGAACAATATCCGAATTGTATTATATGAACTAAAATATGGCATTGATATTTGATTGAGAAGTAGGAGAAAGATCTAAGTGAAAGAAAAGTTATGATGAGTAGTAAAGTTAGTATGAAGTGCACTCCTCTAAACCATAATTGATATTGGTGTTCACTTTTCTTCTATAGAATTATGTGTTTGAAACCACATGTTTGCATCAAGCAGTATACAAAAATTCTGTTTGAAATAATTTGTAGAGAATCTGTATTGGAGCAGAAACATTCAATACTAGTAAAACTTGAGTTGTAGATTCAAGTGAATTTTAATTACATGTATATGTAGTATACTTGTCAATGAAAAGCAACTCGCCTAAGACTGGCAAAGAATGTACTTTAACACACAATGACCTGTACTACTGTATAAAAAGTCTGCTTTCCCCCTAAATAAAAATAACAACAAAATTAACACAAAAAAAAAGGGATCTCAAACAGGTGTCTCTTTATTCAAGGAAAACATTCAACATCTGTTTTAAGGTCCATGTAGATTTTGTAAATCTAACAGAGAACTATAACAGACTTAAACAATGGCAGCCCCTGAATTATCTTCAACCAAAAATAGGTCATATTTACCTACATATTATGCTTTATAAACTTAGTTTATGTCCTGCCTAGAAGTATAGTATAAGAGATTTCTTACATAAAACATTGTCTTGTTCACCTTAATATAAGTATAAGTAGGTAGTTGGTAATCCAAATAAAGACTATTCAAATTTCCATTTTTGGTCACCCGATGTTTATCCCAATTATGGTATATATTACCCTAATGAATTACAAATATACCTCTTAATTTTGTTTTATATATTGATGTTAATTGTTGTTTTTAGAATGTCCGCGTTACATCAAGCCGCCTTAGTTGGCAGTCTGGAAATGATGGGAATGCTCATAGAACAAGGAGCTTCTGTTGGTTTGTCAGACAATAAAGGTATGATATGAGCTGGTGAGTTAATAGGGAAGTCTTTGTAGGTATTTGGAAGTGACTGAATCCTATAGAAAGTAAGGAATTTGTGAGGTAAAAAGACAGAATAATCATTATTTTGAAAAAACAAATTATTTTTCTATAATTTTTAGCTGATTTAAACTTTCCCTGAACCAATGATGTTTTGTTCATAATCAATGTATGGTTCACTTGATATTAGTTTTGATCAGTCAAAATTCAATTACGACATCAAAATTTCTTGCCTTCTGATTTTGTTATTTATTTGTCACAAAAAAGTGACCATGCCTTTTACATCACATAGAAAGAAAACATCTTTTTGCAGATTGATAAAGTTTGCCTACATAAAGATTAAAAATAATTTGAGTGACAGATTCGGCCACTGTATCACATACAATACATTATTTCTCCTCTCTCAGCAGTTAAATTTTTAAGGCAATCCTTGTGTTTGGATTAAAAAATAAATGGTCTCTAAAGAAGAAATATTGTATCACACTTGACATGCTTGATGTAGTAGGAGAATTTATATTTAACCATCTAGATAAGAGTTGTACAAGGGCACCAACCAATGGAAGTAAACTTAGTTAATGTTCTTCAGTTGTTTCCAATCATTTACAAAACTATCATCTTGAAAACTGATTTTTGTCGAGCCTGCGACTTTTGTCGCAGAAAGCTCGACATAGGGATAGTGATCCGGCGGCGGCGGCGGCGGCGGCGTTAGCTAACTTCTTAAAAGCTTTATATTTTAGAAGGTGGAAGGTCTGGATGCTTCATACTTTGTATATGGATGCCTCATGTTACGAAGTTTCCGTCAGTCACATGTCCAATGTCCTTGACCTCATTTTCATGGTTCAGTGACTACTTGAAAAAAAAGTTCAGATTTTTTGTAATGTTAGATTCTCTCTTATTATAAGTAATAGGATAACTATATTTGGTATGTGCGTACCTTGCAAGGTCCTCATGCCCGTCAGACAGTTTTCACTTGACCTCAACCTCATTTCATGGATCAGTGAACAAGGTTAAGTTTTGGTGGTCAAGTCCATATCTCAGATACTATAAGCAATAGGTCTTGTATATTCGGTGTATGGAAGGATTGTAAGGTGTACATGTCCAACTGGCAGGTGTCATCTGACCTTGACCTCATTTTCATGGTTCAGTGGTTATAGTTAAGTTTTTGTGTTTTGGTCTGTTTTTCTTATACTGTATGCCATAGGTCTACTTTATTTGGTGTATGGAATGATTGTAAGGTGTACATGTCCAGCGGGCAGGTGTTATCTGACCTTGACCTCATTTTCATGGTTCAGTGGTCAAAGTTAAGTTTTTGAGTTTTGGTCTTTTTTTCTAATACTATATGCAATAGTTCAACTATATTTGGTATGTGCGTACCTTGCAAGGTCTTCATGCCCGTCAGACAGTTTTCACTTGACCTCGACCTCATTTTATGGATCAGTGAACAAGGTTAAGTTTTGGTGGTCAAGTCCATATCTCAGATACTATAAGCAATAGGTCTTGTATATTCCGTGTATGGAAGGACTGTAAGGTGTACATGTCCAACTGGCAGGTGTCATCTGACCTTGACCTCATTTTCATGGTTCAGTGGTTATAGTTAAGGTTTTGTGTTTTGGTCTGTTTTTCTTATACTGTATGCCATAGGTCTACTTTATTTGGTGTATGGAATGATTGTAAGGTGTACATGTCTAGCGGGCAGGTGTCATCTGACCTTGACCTCATTTTCATGGTTCAGTGGTCAAAGTTAAGTTTTTGAGTTTTGGTCTTTTTTTCTAATACTATATGCAATAGTTCAACTATATTTGGTATGTGTGTACCTTGCAAGGTCCTCATGCCCGTCAGACAGTTTTCACTTGACCTTGACCTCATTTTATGGATCAGTGAACAAGGTTAAGTTTTGGTGGTCAAGTCCATATCTCAGATACTATAAGCAATAGGTCTTGTATATTCGGTGTATGGAAGGACTGTAAGGTGTACATGTCCAACTGGAAGGTGTCATCTGACCTTGACCTCATTTTCATGGTTCAGTGGTTATAGTTAAGTTTTTGTGTTTTGGTCTGTTTTTCTTATACTGTATGCCATAGGTCTACTATATTTGGTGTATGGAATGATTGTAAGGTGTACATGTCTAGCGGGCAGGTGTCATCTGACCATGACCTCATTTTCATGGTTCAGTGGTCAAAGTTAAGTTTTTTGAGTTTTGGTCTTTTTTTCTAATACTATATGCAATAGTTCAACTATATTTGGTGTATGGAAATATTTTATGATCTATTTGGCAGTCACGCAGGTTTTATTTGACCTTGACCTCATTTTCAAGGTTCATTGCTCAGTGTTAAGTTTTTGTGTTTTGGTCTGTTTTTCTTAAACTATAAGCAATAGGTCAACTATATTTGTTGTATGGAAGAATTGTTAGCTGTACATGCCTGCCTAGCATGGTTCATCTGACCTTGACCTCATTTTCATGGTTCATTGGTCAATGTTTAGTTTACTTGGTTAATGTTAAGTTTATGTGACAGTTGTAATAAAGCTTTATATTTAGGACTATCAACATAATATCAATGATTAGTAAAGAAGGCGAGACATTTCAGCGTGTGCACTCTTGTTCTATTGATACATTAAATAAAATGCACTGCTATAACTTTGTTCTAGGGATGTTAGCTCTCCACTATGCTTGCTGGCAAGGGAAAGCAGAACCAGTACACATGTTGTTACAGTGGAGATCACCTGTCAGTAACCAGTCCTATGATGGTGCTACACCATTACATCTGGCTTGTCAACACGGGCATTTTGATGTGGTAAGATAAAAAAAAACATTGGGAAAAAAATAACAAAGTTAACCTTCATGTGCTGATCCAGGATTTTGAAATAGGGAGGCCCAAGCAAGACAACATTAGGAGTAGGGACTGGTATAAAGTCAAAGCAATAACCATATATGTAGCTCCATAAGCCCCCCTTAATCCACCTCTGATCTTCATACTCTGTAATATATAAAAATAGACAAAAAAGATATTAATTAAGGATGATGATTTCATGTGAATTAGACAGCACGACAATTAAGACATAAATATAGTTATAAGAAAATTCAAATACAATGTAAAAAAAAAACAAGATCAAAACTTTCATCCAAATCTCAATGTATGCTATGATATAGATGTCTAAATCTTGTGTATGATTATCTTGAAGTATATATTTGTTTGCTCTTTATGGATAAATATTAACATTTAACTATCAAATTCTTAAGAAACACATCATTTTGCACAATTTAACAGCTGTTATATGCAGTTTCAAATGTTTTTGCAAATGTAGTAAATATTAAAATATGTATTATGTTTTTTGTAAACCAAAAATTTAATGGCATTGCATAAAATTGGTCTTTTGCCAAATTATTTTTTGAATGTTTGATGTTTACATTTCCATAGTAAAGCCTTGTTTTTATTTTTTATCAAGTTTGAGAATAAAATTTGAATTGATAAGTGAAGGTAGACAGCATGACAAGTGATTAAAATGGAGTGATGCATAAAATCTTTATTCAGTAGTTAAATTTGTCTAATCCAGTTGAAAATGAAGCCAACATCAAAAGTTTGTCAAGTTTGCACAAAAAATTCTCATTCATGAAGTTAGAATATTAACAGACTTTCATTTCATTTACTCAGAAAAAAATTGTCATTGTTAATAAGATGTGAAACATTATCAAAAATTTCACAGTATATTCAGTTCTACTGTCATAAATGGTAATAGATAATATTATCTTACCTGTTCAGGTGAGAATCAATCATCAAAGAAATTAAATTGTCATTAATCATGTACCTTGGCCTTACCTGCACAAAAAATCAATGTAATAGATTACATCAAGAGATGGTCTCTTGTATGACAATCTCAACTCAACTAAAGGCTTCTTTAGTCGTCCTTGTCAAGGATATAGTGAAATTTAAAGACTGTCAATCAGTCAAAATCTTCAACATACTTTAAAACTCATATTTGTTGTAGTTAAACAAAGTTACTTTAAAAATTATTAAGGAATTTAGCTTATTTCTTTGTACAAAAAACTTCATGTACGTAGCATTCTTAATTTCCTGTTTTGGGCAAAATAGATGACACCAGTCTTAATAGAAATTAATACTTGGTAATCGTATTATTCTGAAACATGAAATGAGGACATATTACCTCCTTGTTATGATTTGACTCTTCTTACATGAATCTTATAATAAGCAGATTGTTTTGGGACAAATTTATACTTGAACATGTCCTTCATATGTTTTGGGACAAATTTATACTTGAACATGTCCTTCATATGTTTTTGGGACAAATTTATACTTGAACATGTCCTTCATATGTTTTTAGGACAAATTTATACTTGAACATGTCCTTCATATGTTTTTGGGACAAATTTATACTTGAACATGTCCTTCATATGTTTTGGGACAAACTTATACTTGAACATGTCCTTCATATGATTTTGTTATATAGGTTGGTTTGGTTTTCATTAGGCAAGCCTTATATGGAACACAAAAAATACATGTATTGATATATACTGACAGAAATTGACAAAGTAATTGATATATTATGTGTGAAGAAGTGTGATAGTTTTCACCTCTCATTAATAACAATTACAAAATTAACAACTATTTTACATTTTACCATACAGTACATTAATGTCGCAAAATTCTCTTCATTGCCAATGTCTTTTTTTCCATTTTTTGAAAAGTAAATGCTTATATAGTAATTTTATAAAAATTCATTTGATTTTTTCAACATTTTCAAAAAGTACCGGACTTAATTCTAAATTCATTTAGAAATAATATTTTTGTAGAATATTTTTCATATGTGATTTTGCATTTCTTATCTTAAAAAAACTACAAAAAAAACCCATGTATTTCTTTACATACTGAATCTGATGGATAACATCATTTTATAGTTTTTTTTTAAACAATTGGTATTAGAAGTACATTTACATTTCCTCCCTAATTAATAACGTACATTTTTTTTGGGTGAAAATTAGTCATAAAGGTATATTAAAATACAGTCAAGATTAATAGATATAATCAATATAACACCGAAGGATCACAGTTTGAAGCTGCTAATATCTGATAATTATATGCAATAACACAAAATTGACCCATGTTACTTTCAAATTCAGATGTGAATTTTTGATTAAGGATTCTGTTGTATTTGGAAAACAATTGATTCTATTCTAAAAAAAAAAGTATTAAATGCTTGGAAACATAGATAAAAATTGATTTTCTCTACTTAAGAAATATTATGTTACAGCGACAAACAAAAGATTAGTCTTTTCTTTGTCACAAAAAATGTAATGATTTTAAGATAAAGATGTGAGAAAAATATTTTTAATATTTATACTGAATGTAAGGTTCCTTATGTTATTATGCAAAATAATATTCAATAAAAAGTCATAAGATAAATTTCCTTTTATAACACATTAATATTATTGACTTTATACATGATGACTGTTTCCTTGTATCGTCATCATGACAATATGTGATCATGATAAAAAATCCTTATAACGAGGTGATGACGTCCTTTAACATCAGCTGTTTAAAGGCTTTCATAAGTTGGCAAAAATTTCTGTCATTTCTAAAAAGTTTTTTGTTGGTAATTTCTTATAATTCATCAACAATTTTGTGATTCATATGTACCATTTATTTGCCATAAAACCTAATTATAGGAAAAGGTCCAAACAGAAATGTTAAGTTATCTTGAGAGAATTCTTTTGCATATCATTTGTTGGGAATTATATAAGGAGGGGATTACTGTTTACATTCGTCTGTCCATCCATGCAAGATTGGTCTCATTTTTTAAAGAAACTTCAAATCAGAGCTATATGAAATTTAGTATCAAGATTCATGTTAACATGCTATACTATGAGATGCATTTTCAGATTCATCTCACATCAACTTTCTCTTTACTAATACTTATGATTCTTACACATAATAAACATGTATAAAATTTTCATCACAGTTCCCTCAGATCAAGGCTTTCTAAAATTTAGAATCAAGCTTTCTGTGAGATTTACTGTGTGATGTGTTTCTTTGCATCCCATACTTATCGACTTAATGTTACTGAATACTTATAGCTAGGTATCATTAATAAGCAATATCTGGCAGTTCAACTTGTTTATTTATTTTTTTGTATTTTCAATATTCATATTTTTTTCAAAGTGCTTCTTTCTTGAAGTACAAACAAGATCGAACAATACACCACACAGTAATACCTAACAGCTTATTGCCAATAAAACAGCATTTTTATGGTAAAACATCTGTATAAGGGATTAAGTAGAGGTTTATGGTCCAGTATAACACAAGCTATGTACAAATTTACCTTAAATATAGGCTCATACATTGTATACTTGCCAACATTTTCTCCTATATTTAGAATAATAGGTTAATTTTTCTGCAGTTAATTCTGAAAGAGGATGTTGACATGTTTTCATATATACTTGGACATTTACAATATGGCAGCTCAAATAAAGATGTTTACAGTTATATTATACATACTCATACAATTTATAATCTCTGTAAATTAGACAATTTATTGTTGTTAAAGTTTGAATTTAATGCTTCTGTGATTTGTGTCCATCTCAAGTCAATTTATAGAAATGATGACCAAATATAAAAGGACAATATAATTAGTGTGTTCAGTGACCATGGTTCATCCTATTGTAAACATCTCAGGACATGGGTGGATCGATACATGCTGAGTTGTTGTTCAATACTGAAGGCATTGATGGGTCAAAGATCATATACAAAGCTATTTTACACCTTTATTTTGTCTGTCACTCTGATGGCTTATTCTGAGCTTACAATTTCTCATAATTGTTGGTCTTTTCCTGTGTCACATTAAGGGGAATTTTAAACATTGTCAGTAATGAGAAGAAGAGTAGTCTTGGTCAAGAAACTGTATATAGAGTTTTTTGTTTCAAAGTTTTGAGCAGGCCCAGTTTGGCAAAGCAAATGTTTTATTTTCTGTAATTTTTTTAAGAACTTAACTAAATTTAAATAAAATTGTTTGCTGAATTCTTTACAGCCCCAAAGCAATGCAGGAGTCCCCACCAAAATTTTTTATTTTTAAAATTCTACTTAGATTTTATTTGCCTTAATGTCAACTACAACTATTGGCTATCAGTTTGATCTTACAAGTGGACAAAAGTTAAAATAATGTCAATTGATACCTAAAGATGTTTAAATTTTGTACTTATTGACAAAAGAAGAAATTTTGCCCTATCAGAGCTATTGTAATTTAAGGTATCCTCTGGGGTTATATGTCCACCGCTATACAATTTTTCTTTTTTTTATACCTAGTAAAGGGAGTTTAACTGTAGGATTTATTTAATAATTGCAATTAAACAGGTAATATATTTGTCACACATTAAAGGTTTTACGACAGTAATATATATGCTTTATATGAATGATAACCTTTAAATATAGATGTTTATTAAAGTCCTTGGTAGCCATTGAGGCATGTCCGAGGAGATGATGTTATCTTTTGCCATTCATGGAGATACTTCACACAAACAATGTGTGGTCTTTGGCTTTTCTTGTATTTTTTCCAAATTTAAGAGAATGTTTTAAAAAATATATCTTTTGAATTATATATTGCTGCATCAGAAAAGTGGTTCTATTGTTAATGGTTTTGAGGACAGTTATTTTTGCATAGTCACTTATCAATTGAGTCCATCATGATCAACTAAGGATGATTTTTCACTTATTTTATGACCAAGTCAATGTATAGTAAAGCATTGATTTTTTTTATTGTTTAATGCTATTTTATAAAAAAATCTTTTAGCTAGTTGTAACAAATTTGTTTTACGCTGCACCTCATTGGAAAAACTACATTTTATTTGGCAAAAATTCCATATGACACCTCCACCCTTAAAAATACCCACTGAAAACTTGCAGCTTATTCTGTGGGAGTGCCAAATAGAGCTCATTCTGAGTAATGGTTCTTTAATGATTGGTAAATAGTAATTATTATAGTTTACATTTAAAAAAAAAAGAAGTTTGTTATAGCCAACTGCTTTTTAAAGAGATCTAATATAAATTTAACATTTTCATAAGATGCTAATCCAATGGATTTTAAAATTAAACCACATATTTATTAGTCTTATTTTTGCATTTTTATGGGCATAATTTGTCCCAGTCTGTGGGTCTGTTTACCTGTCTGTCCATCCCTTAACAGATTCATAAAATTTCATTTTAAAACCCTGGAGGTCTTTTGAATTTTTTATATTGTTGGGCAGCTGTCTTATTGACACCTACATCAATATATTCACAGATAAAAGAAATATGTGTAAGTGAATTATATATTGAAAGTGCATAATCCACATTTTATGTAAATGCATTTAAAAAATAATAAGATATGAGTAAAAAACTTTGTGGAGACATAAATATGAAATAGATTGAAGTGGTGAACAACAGAGTAATCTTTGATAATGGTATAGCAAGGTACAGGGTGGGTCTGGTGTTTAGTTCCCTTAATGTTTTATTTGATACTGATAATGAGATAAATAAAGAAATAAAACCATAACAATAGAAAATAAGACAATCAAGGTTAATAAATTAGTGATTTGTATTTCTCATGAAAAGCTGGGTGTCTTTCAATCCTGACAAATTTATTGTTGACAGCACACATATTGAGAAAATAGAAGTTACATTTTCCCATACCCTTCTTACTGACCTGCTGTCCTACAATCTATACAGTGTTGATTTGGCAATTAAAACTTACAAAAGATAGAAATTTTAGATCTACCTGCTGAATGTACAACAATGATAATACTGGCTTACAAAAATATAATGTGACTGTTTTTTTTCTTCTAAAATTTGAATTAAAAAAGAAATCTCTTAAATATTTACGTAAATTGTAAAAATTTAAAAGTTTATCTGAATATTTTTATAACCTATTAGCTAGAATGTCGGTTGTCTTGAAACTGTAATACACATACTAATTAGAATAATAATTAAGGAATATGAGTACTGTACTTGAGGAGTTGCTACCGTCAATTGAGGATTTGACAGTCACAAATGTAGTTATAATAATCATATATATGAAAGTATATTATTCATTGCCATCTTTTGCTCCAAATCATTTCCTGAAACATACACTAGTTTTAACCAGATACAGTGTGTCGTACATCTGTTTGCTACCAAATTAGATATGTAAAACTTGTTTCAATTTGTATGTTTATGTGTAACATGTAGTACAGCTTTTACTGGTGAATTTTTTGTTCTACTGTTCCATTAACTGATCAAGTTGTGACATGGAACCTGTCATCCTTTATAAACTTTAAAAAATATCTTTCTTTCCAAAATTGTTCAGCTAATATTTTACCAGAATCATATTAAGGGTGTTCTTTTTAAAATGTCTTGACCAGAATGATATTTAGGATGTCCTTTTTAAGATGTCTTTACCAAAATCACATTTAGGTTACCCTTTAAAATGTCTTGAAAACTCTTCCTTAATAAAATTAGAACAAACAATTTCAATGAAATTAATGGTTTTGACAATTTAATCATTGTTAGATGGTCACATTCTAAAACATTATTGGGATATATTACGACTAAGTTTTAAAATATCTCTAATATTCATAGCTGGTAATGGCCCCTTGTCCTAGCGAACATTCAACAGTATTACATAGAATACAAGCAATAAGGCCATATATCAATGAAAAGAGCTTTTATTTTGAATTTTGATATGAAAGCCTTCAATGATTGGTAAAGCTCATTCACATAGAATACAAGCAATTCACCATACACAGTATATCAATTAACAGCAGTTTGATTTGAATTTAATTATGTTAGTTGATGGGAATTCTTCACCAGTTGATAAAGCTGGAGACGAGTTATCATTGAATGAACCAATTTAGAAATAGTGTTTGTATTATTGGTACCTCCCTGTTTTAGACATTCCAATTGGTCCAAATGTTGTCGAAGAGGATCATTGCACAATTTAATTTTTGAGGAAGGATTTACAAATTTGTCTATTACTCAAGATAATAAATAAAGCTGTCATCTACATTACAATTATTTACCATGAAGACCAAGATAGAAGAAGTTAATGGGCAATACTAACTTTATACAATGAAGTAAATTTGCTTGATGAATTATAGCCTCCATTATACAGTCATTATTTTGTTTTAATCTTTTACAGGCCAACTTATTACTGTTACACAATGCTGTGCCTGCAATTCTAAACCATGAGAATAAAACACCATTAGATTTGGCTTGTGAGTTTGGAAGATATCGGGTAAGAGTCTGTAGTGGATTTGTTCAAGAGAAACTTGTCAGGGCTTAATAGACCTTATCGCTATTTGGAAATCTGCGCTGCTTGACCCGAGAATCTCCACCTCTTGAACTATTGACGTCATATAACAATCACTTTTCCATTGTGGCGTCAGATGTTTTCTTTTATGAAGTCAAAATTTTATGGGAACCTTTGTGATGTCCAGTAATGGCAGACAAATAGCAATAAGGTGTATGTTATTGTTAGCCAAATTTATAGATTGTTTTAAGAGTCACAAATCCTTTTTAAATTGTTGAAATGTCAAAAAGTATTTGTTTGCTACAATACGTACCATATGTAATTGATTATTTTTGATAGTTTTGCTAATTTGTAAAAGTATTAGGATCCTGAGACCTTGTTTGAGGCTGTTCATACTTTTCTTGTGCTTTTCGGAATGTGTGATAAACCATCAAAACTTGTTAAAGATATGTAGAAAACTAAAAATATTTCTAAACAATAATGAACAAAAATATACCAAAATAAATAGAATGGGACAAAGTCATGATAAAAGTTCCAAACAACTATTAGGTGACGAAATAAAAATATTAATAAACTAACAACATTAGAAATTAGAAAAACAATAAGGTCTTTCCTCACATAGGGGAAAGACCTTAATTATACACTATCCATGAACTTCAATGAATTTCACGGTCTAAACAATACATTCTCAGTGCTCACTTCACATGGAAATTAAGGGTGTAGTTATTGCCAAAAAAATAATAAAAGGAATACAACAACTAACAACATTATTATACACCACACAACGGGTTGCGGAGGGTATAATGTTTTTGACCTGTCCGTCTGTCTGTCCGTCTGTCTGTCCGTCAGTCCGTCAGTCCTTGTCATCGCAACTCCTCTCAAACCACACAACAGAATTTCACGAAACCTTTTTAGATAATAAGGACATACTATGTAGTTGTGCATATCGACAGGAAATTGTGATTCAATTTTTTTTCTAGGAGTTACGCCCCTTTGAACTTATTTGCTTTAATGTACTACTGCAACAGTTTGTCATCGCAACTCCTCTGATACCACACAACAGAATTTCATGAAACCTTTTTAGATAATAAGGACATACTATGTAGATGTTCATATCGACAGGAAATTACGGTTCAATTTTTTTTCTAGGAGTTGCGCCCCTTTGAACTTATTTGCCTCAATGTACTACTGCAACAGTTTGTCATCGCAACTCCTCTGATACCACACAACAGAATTTCATGAAACCTTTTTAGATAATAAGGACATACTATGTAGATATTCATATCGACAGGAAATTACGGTTCAATTTTTTTTCTAGGAGTTACGCCCCTTTGAACTTATTTGCTTCAATGTACTACTGCAACAGTTTGTCATCACAACTCCTCTGAAACCACAAAACAGAATTTCATGAAACTTTGTAGAAAATAAGGACATACTATGTAGATGTGCATATCAACAGGAAATTATGATTCAATTTTTTTTCTAGGAGTTATGCCCCTTTGAACTTATTTGCTTCAATGTACTTCTGCAACAGTTTGTCATCGCAACTCCTCTGAAACCACACAACAGAATTTCATGAAACTTTGTAGATAATAAGGACATACTATGTAGATGTGCATATTGACAGGAAATTATGATTCAATTTTTTTTTCTTATACAATTTTTTTTCTTACACATATTTTATTTCTCCAATGACAATGTGGGGACGTGGGGTATGTGAGCGTGCTCACTAAGGTTCTTTAATTCCTATTGAAATAGTTCCTCTATAAGGGTAAACAACTCTTGTTTATCTACTCACAATAAAGGTGTTTGAGATAAAGAGGAATGAAGCATAAGTTGAGTCTATGACATGTGGAGCAAGAGGCCATTGCACTTAGAAAAACTTACTTGCCTCAATACTTCAAATGCAGTTGTTAATGTGAATACTGCAAATAAAGACGATAATCCCTTTCTTATACATGTACATGCAACTTTTGTAGGTATCTTGTTCTTATTAAACTTGTGACAATGCAAGCTAAGGAAGATAACTCTGAATATTTGTATGATGAAAGCACAACAATACTTCATTAAATGTGTAATTTATGTAGAATTTTTAAAGAGTTATGATTTTTTATAAAGATAAAGAGATGTGGTATGATTGCCAATGAGACAACTTTCAACTAGAGTATATGACATAGATGTAAGCAGATATAGGTCATTGTACATCATTTATCAATGATACAACCCATACCTATAGTCAGCTACAAAAAACCCTAACATGACAAAATGTGAAACATTTCAAAGAGAAAACCAACACCCTGATTTATGACAAACAATAATGGCAGATATGTTCCTTTGGTATCTATAGCCTCTCTTCTATAGCAACCAACAACAACCACTGAATTACAGGCTCCTGACTTTGGACAGGCAGATAAATAACATGGTGGGGCTAGGTATGTTCGTGAGCACTCAACCCATTCCTAACCTGGGAGAGAGGTGTAACATTGCTACATAAGAAAAAACTGTAAAAATCATATTGAAATGGTTTGACTCGTCAGATTTGGCAAGAAGCTCATAAACAACTCACATAAAGACAAAAGACACAAAATATGGATCTAAGATTACTCACAGTTACTGAAAAGTAGTTCAAAGCCAATTACAACTAATAAATATATCGTCTTCTCCGATACTAAAATATCAATCGATACACATCCAAGGGATTTAGTGTAAGGATGCCATAAAAAGTCTTAGAAAAGCTTTACCTTGTGCAATGCCAAAATATATATACATAGTATCGGCAGTAAGAGGAACCAATACCCATAAGTTTTCATAACTGTATAGCAATACATATTTAGTTACATTCTACTCTTTACTTTTGTATACTTATATTTAATTTGAGATCAATATTTCTTTCTCGTAAAAAAAAAAGTCTGCATAATTGACCATTTGGATCATTTATAATTTTTCTCGTATACTGCTGTATATAAATTGACTCAGCAACAGAAGTTTGTTAGGGTGTAAAGAACTAAGGGTATTCAGCCTTAGCTGTTTTGGGCTACTCTGGATACAAAATTGTTATGCCTGCTGATTGTACCTATACATATAGATCAACTGATTCTTTCTTTTATTCAAAGTAAATTATTTCTTTTTACAGGTTGTAGATTTATTACTTAGAAGTAATTTGTGTGCTTCCTTGCTGTTTGAAACCCCTCTTGATATGGTAGATGGTAATACTACTTGTATACATCTGGCTGCAAAGAATGGTCATGTAGAAATTCTCAGGTAGGAAAAACTTCATGTTTACATCTGGCTGCCAAGAATGGTCATGTATAAATTCTCAGGTAGGAAAAACTTCATGTTTACATCTGGCTGCCAAGAATTTCAGGGAGAAATTCTTATGTAGGAAAAACTTCTTGTTTACATCTGGCTGCCAAAAATGGTCATGTAGAAATTCTTATGTAGGAAAAACTTCTTGTTTACATCTGGCTGCCAAGAATGGACAAGTAGAAATTCTCAGGTAGGAAAAACTTCTTGTTTACATCTGGCTGCCAAGAATGGTCAGGTAGAAATTCTCAGGTAGGAAAAACTTCTTGTTTACATCTGGCTGCCAAGAATAGTCAGGTAGAAATTCTCAGGTAGGAAAAACTTCTTGTTTACATCTGGCTACCAAGAATGGTCAGGTAGAAATTCTCAGGTAGGAAATACTTCTTGTTTACATCTGGCTGCCAAGAATGGTCATGTAGAAATTCTCAGGTAGGAAATACTACTTGTATACATCTAGCTGCCAAGAATGGTCAGGTAGAAATTCTCAGGTAGGAAATAATTCTTGTATTCATCTAGCTGCCAAGAATGGTCATGTAGAAATTCTCAGGTAGGAAATACTACTTGTATTCATCTAGCTGCCAAGAATGGTCAGGTAGGAAATACAACTTGTTCACATTAGTTAGTTATTATTAGGCCATTAGTTTTCTCAGTTGAACTGTTTCATATTTTTCATGTCTAGCCGACTATAGAGTATGTGGTTTTCTCATTGTTGAAGGGCGTACTGTTGCCTATAATTGCTTACATCCACTTCATTTGAACTTTGGTGGATAGTTGTCTCATTGGCAATCATACCACATCTCGTTATTTTTATAATGCAGAAATTCTCAGGTAGGAAACACTACTTGATTACATCTGGATGCCAAGAATGGTCATGTAGAAATTCTCAGGTAGGAAATTTCTGAGGTACCCAATACTACATGTAAAAGTTTTCCTTTTTGCAGTATTTAGACTGAATGCACTGTGAATTTATTTATTTTTGTGGGTGCTAATTTTCATGTATTTTAGAAAAACTACTTTTTGGTGGATGCTTAATTTCATGATTTTAACAAATTCTGCAAGTTTTATATTTTGTTAAAAACTTAAATTTGTGGTTCACTCATAATATCCACGAAAATTAGTTCCCCATGAATAATGATTAATCCTCAGTATGTATGTGTTATGTTATATATTTATTATTGTTTTTATTTCTATGGGCTGATACATTATTATTTTATTTCACTAGATTATTGCTGCAAGCTGGTATGGATATAAACAGATTAACTCAACAGGGAACCTGTCTCCACCAAGCAGCGTTATGTGGCAAAGTAGATGTGGCAAAATTACTTCTTGATGTAAGTGATAGATATAAAGGAAAATGAGTTTAGGCAACGTACGCTCATTTCTATTTAAACTATAAAAGTAGTATGAAGAAATAAAAAATAAAAATTTAAATGAGAAATTAAGCTTTATCCTTGACCTTATTTTCATGTGTCAGTAATCATCGTTAAGTTTTCATGGTTAGGTTTGTTTCTAATATACTTTAAGCAACATGTTAACTATATTTAATGTATGATACCTGTAGTTAAACTATGTTTTAAATGAAACATGAAACTCAGTCATGATTAGTAAGACAGGCGACACATTTAGTTTGTGTGCCCTTGTTACTCTTAAAGCAGATATTTCTTGATGAAATTAAGCTGTCATAGAAATCTGAGCATTATGCAGTGATGGATCATTCCTTATATATCTGTTGCTGTGTTTACAGGATTTTTTTTGTACATTTAGATATTTTTGGTAAATATAATTTTGTATGAATTGGGGAGCATGATATCAGAAAAAAGCCACCCTTTGTTAATACTTTTTTTTCGTTACAGTGTGGTGTGGATGTAAATAGGACAAATTCTCATGGTGAGACTGCCTTAGATATAGTGCTAAAATACACACCATGTCGTGCTGCCAAAGATCTCAAACAACTTCTTACAGGTAGGTTTGTATAGGATAGTGCTTAAATATACACCATATTGTGCTTCCAAGGATATCAAACAATTTCTTACAGGTAGGTTTATATAGTGCTTAAATACACAGCATGTCGTGCTGCCAAAGATCTCAAACAACTTCTAACAGGTAGGTTTATGTTATTCATTTATGCTACACCCTGCCTAGTTTCCTACATCAAACCTGTAGAATTTTTGTTGCAATTTATTTAGTACATTTATAAGCTAAAAGTAGTGTAACAAATATTTAAGAAATAAAGTGATTAAAATTATGTAGGTAAAAAATTGTTATCATAAGCTATAATTTTCTTCTTGAAAAAACGAGTTGTCTCCCTTTTGCTGTACAGCTATTGTGCAAATAGAATGTCTGTCAACAATCTAAAGCAGCCTATGGTATTCAAATATGCATATAACAGGTTTAAATAGAAACTGTGTCCCAAAAGATTTCTAATACTAGTTTTTGTCTCGCCTGCGACAAAAGTCGCAGAAAGTGAGACATTGGGATTGCTTTTCTGACGATGGCTGCAGCGACGTTGTCAACAATTGTTAAGTTTTCTGCTTAAGTTAGTTTGATAGGAACTACTTGTGATAGATCATTGATATTTAATTTAAAGTCTCATTACCATTGGTACATATCAGTGTGATGACTATTTTGGGGCCCTGCCCCGTAGGTCCTAGTCCAGTGACTTTGAATTAATTAGCAAATTTCAATGTTAAGTTTTCTGCTTCAGTCAGTTTGATAAGAACTACTTGTGATAGATCAATAATATTTTGTATAAAGTTGCATTACTATCAGTACATATCAGTTTGACAACTATTTTGGGGCCCTGCCCCCTTGGTCCTGGTCCAGTGACTTTGAATTAATTAGCAAATTTCAATGTAAAGTTTTCTGCTTCAGTCAGTTTGATAAGAACTACTTGTGATAGATCAATGATATTTTGTAGAAAGTTGCATTACTATCAGTACATATCATTTGGACGATTATTTTCAGGCCCTGCCCACTAGATAATGAATGGCCCAGCGACTGAATTAATAAACCATGTTGCTGTCCATCAGATTGTCTTTTTCTGAATTTTATGCCAACAGGCGAGACATATCTCTGTGTCAACAGTTTATTGGAACTATTTTTGCTTTTCACCTTAAGACCTGTAATCTGTAAGTCGGGTATTTAGGATTGCTAAATACAATTAATTTCCGCATAAGCTACAATAGTAACCTTTTTCAAGATACAGACTTTAGAAAGTTGATTTTTAGAATGAACATTGCTAAATACAATTAAATTTCTGCACTTAAAAATATGTGTCTCAGCATTGAAGGACTACTCAGTTCATTTAAGACTTAGGAAAATATAGTATTTTGCCTTTGGTATAATGCAGATTGCACAAAGTGTCTAGTATTAAAAAATGTTTGGCTGCACACAACGATCAATCAGGATTAGCCATACTCTTAATTCTGCATAGTATGTTATCTTAATAAAATGACTGCGCCCATAATACTTAATGGTTTATTGTACCCATAGTGATCATGACTGCATCAATAATACTTAATGGTTTATTGTACCCGTAGTGATCATTACATCTGCACCTTTGTCTGTACATCAGTTCATTCAGTGTTTGGTATGTTGAACCAGTGTTATGGGACTTAAGCCGTCAGATACTTAAAAGTCACACACTAACTTGAGAATGCTGGAATCAGTACATGTAGTATATATTGTCATTACTGATTTAATTCTGTTTTTCCTTTGCCAATTGAAGACTAGTTCTTAGCTAGGCAAGCTGGTCTGCTCCCTATGAAAAGCTTGATAAGTTGAAATTAATATCCTATTTTCAACCAATATTTATTTAAAACTAGCAATAAAAAAATAACTATAAAAAGTACATTGTATTAAGCTTTACAAATGATTGAATATTGTTAAAAGTTTTGGAAAACTTACAGATTACAGACATAAAATGCTTTTCAGCATGCTCTTCATTTTCAATGAAAATTTATGTCCCTCCTAGGAAAACAAATCATAAAAATAAATCTTTTAACTACAGGGTCAATTATGCAATTGACAAATAGACTATTTACTTGAAACTTTACACTGTTTTGGGGATTGGTAAATTTCAACTTTCTAATTGATTTTGAAATTTTCCGATTTGCTATTCTAGAGTTTTTGGGATATCAATTGTCAAATTTAAGGCAGTTTCCACATACTGCACATAAAGTCTTGTATTCTAGCTAGGATCAATTTTCTTTATGTTGTTATTGGCACCTTTTGATTTAATTTTTTTTTTCAATTTGTCATTCTATAGTTATTGAACTTAAAGTAAAAACAGTAAAAAAAAGGTTGGTGACCCTATCATTATTTTACATAATTGAAACGGTAATTTATATCAACAACATATAGTTTTTTAAGAAAAATCTGTGGATTTGAAATTTGATGATTTAAAGACAAAAATAGGAAAGTTTTCTCCGATTTTATGTGCTTTCTATACAAGTAATCACCTACTTTTAAAGAATTCAATCAGTAATATTTCAGACAACAAAAGAGATAAATGCATTATTTTTTCGATTTTCAGATATAGTGCAACAGGCCAAAGTTGTATGCAAAATTTTACCAAAATCTGTGACATAGCCCATTTACTGTAACTTGACCATAAAGTATTTTACAACATCAAAAAAATGTATGCCTATTTTCCTTATGTGATATGTTATTATGTAGCCTGCATCCCTGTTCATGTATGCTTAGAAAGCTGTCTTTTTAACAAATAGTGACCAGGAAAGCTGCATTAATAACAAGAGAATTTTTATAATATTATCAAATTATCAAAACATTTTTTTAATTCTCAGTGTTGTTTTTTATAATAAAACTAATTTATTTGAAACCATGGATGAAATAATTTCCAAAATTATCCATATGTATTTTTATGCAAAGCTGTTCATTTGTTTTTGTGTCTGTTAGGTCTGTTTGTCCATCTAATATCAGGTTAAAGTTTTGTTTTAAGATAATTTACCTTGAAAATGTTGTCACATCAACTTGAAACTTTACATATGGTCATTATGATATGAACTTTTAAAGATATATGTCAAATTAGGGTTTGGACAGTTGATAAAGACAGACATGTCAAAACATAGACTATTAGTGTCTTAATTTTGATATTGAAGACATAAAAAGGCAAAAACAGCTGGATCGTAGAGTAAACATTATGTTTAAGCTTAGATCAGTAGAATGTTACATAGATGATTCTTCAATGAGAATAAAATTGTTAGCCAACAATTGTATTTTTTGTGATCTGAAATAAATGATAGCAACAGTGAATGAAAAAAAAAAGATAGATATACATTTATACCACCTAAACAAATAAAATTAACATTGTTTATGTTAACACCAATACATATATTTTGTTGTTGTTATACCCTTACTGGCTATAGTGTTGAGTATATATATTGAAGAAGATGTATGTACATATGTCTGTCCTCCTAGATTAGGTCAGTAAATGTAAGATGTCAGGTCAAAATTTAAATACGTCATTTAGTTTAAACAATATTTTATTTTCAAAAGTGCACAAAATACAATTATACAATATAAATTCTGGGATTCGGAAACAAGAATAACTTATATAAATCCGTCTCCCTTATACGTCATTTCATTTAAGTAGATGATCAAAGAAAAATAGGACAAAACTTAGAAACAATGTAATATCTTAGGGAATCATTTGAAATATGATATATCTGCATGCTAATTTGTAAGATACAAATATTTTAATGTTTTGTATAATAAATTTAAAAAAAAGTTAGGTCATAATGACCTACATTTTACATTTTGGTCCTTAACTTACAGTGATATAATACAGTATTGCACAATCATATTTTCGTTCCTTTATATGTGCATGTCATGATTCACGTACACATTGTATTTTAATCTGTTCTTCAGTAACCCATGTTTTGCAAAAGTGAGATCAATTTTATCAACTTTTCATGATATGAATTGGATTAAGTTTGGCTCTTTTGTCCATTTTTTCTGAAACCCCTGGTGATACATGTATTAGGGATCATTTTATTGCAGAGGTAAAACATAAAATATTAGTTTGGTATTCATCCACCAACCAAGACATGTAATTGAACCTTCTTTAAAGAATCATGAAATTATCTTATTTTGAAAAACATTAATTTTACAGTGAAATATTTTAGATTTATTCACATCAACTCAAGTTAAATTGTTCTCCGAATTCATGACTTGTAATTCTGAACAGCTATGCCATTGTAATAGTTTTCTTAGTATCTTTCTGTGGTTATAAACATTTTGAATGTGTCAATTTAAAAATTGAAATTAAAAGTGAAATATGTATCGGCATCAAAAATGTATAATTTAGGAACACCTACAGGCTTTTTAATACATGTTTTATTTCTGATCTAAAACATGAGCTTCTATTATAACAAACACACCCTTATACATGAAATATACCATAAACTGGTATTTAAATAGATCCATCAAAAAATGGCACCTATTGTATAGTATTACCAAAATTGTGTATCAAGATGGCCATTTAATTTAAACACTCCTAAAATTTGGTCTCGTCTTACTGACTCGCAGGCCTGGGAAAGTATTGAATCTCAATCATTTTTTTGATGACCATGTCTAGCCTCAAAGTTTAATGTTTATTATAGATGAACATATTGCATGGTTATTGACTGAAAGTGATATATATATATCTTGACATTCTGGACATCAGTCATTATGTTATTTGGTTTTTTGATAGATTTATTCTGCTTAATATCAAATTCATTGTTATTATCATCTTTTTACCAAGCATTCCCATAACCTCATTTATCTGATAATTATTCCATATTTTGTCAGGATAGAAAAGGCTATAAAGTACTAAACTTCAAAGTATATTGTATAAATCAATGTTCTAATATACTGGCCAGGCTAGTCTGTTGTGAACAATTGGTGATTGAGTCCTCCCTTGATATAGTCATTGAACAAGGTTCTACAGGGTGTGGTATGACATTCAGGTCATCCTTATGTGAACAATAGTTGATTGAAAGCCATAGTCATAGTCATTGAACCAGGTTTTTAGCATGGCATAATAAGTCACATTTGTATGACAGTTATGCCATTTTGAAGATCACTGTTTATTTTGGGTTATGTAAAGACTAAAACTAACATTGAATTCAATATATCAAGTAGAGGGAAATTAGCAGCTATCAGTCTATTCTTATACATAGTAGAGAATATCAGCCTAAAATGCTATGAACATTGATGAGGGATGTATACAGAGGTCTGAACAGTCCAACATATATAATAGTTATATTAGAAATATAATACATCCAATACACAACCTTAATATTGTCATAACATTTTTTTGGAGTATACCCTGCCAAGAGGCCAACTATACCCCTCAAGTAAAGAGATGGTGTAAGCAATCCTCAAGATGTATTGAGCTTAATAATATCTCAACACGTTAAAATATTTAGATCTAGCGGCACAAATTCAATAGGACATCATTATAATTATTTAAGTGGGTTTTTTTTTTGCCTGATTTGTTGAAATTTCTCAATTTATTTGTAATTTCAGGTTTTTTCTCAATTTTAGGGTTATTGTAAATTAATATTCAGTCTTCACTTAACATCAATATTCCTACTTTTTCTCATTTATAATAAGGAGTATATAATAAGTTGATTCTTAAAGAAAAAAAGGTAACAAAAAATTACATTTTAGTCATTTGGATGTAACATAGTCTTAAAGTTTTCATGTGAAATAAACGATAACATGACAATAACCTTTTCCACCTGTATTTATTAGTTATCTCCCTTTAATAACTGTTTACATTGGAGAGAAGTTATTTAAATTAAAAAAAGTCAATTCAATCCAATGTTTCTAGTGGGTGTTCGGTATTTCAAAGATATTTTATGGTATTTACAATACAATAAAAAGTTTAGAATTTCAACCTTGTACAAAAAGGTTAGGTCAGGATAGGTCTTTAGATTACTATTTTTGATACAATTAAATTAAAAGTTACTAAATCTCAGAGTTAACTGATAGCTATATAAGTAAGAAAGTTGATGAATTTTTATCAGGTAAATACAGGTAAAAGTTTTCTCAAGGTGTATTATCTATGTGCATAAATTGACTATAATGGTATGTAGGCCACTTTTACTTCATGACATAACCTTGTGTAACAGGTAAATAATACTTTTATCTTTCAATTACAATGTTACATTGTCATCAAATCTGTATTATAATGTCATTTATTGAAGTTAACTAGAAAACTAAATTGAAAAAAAAAAATAAACAAAGATGAATTTGTGTTTTGATGAACTAGCTAATGTTTGTTTTTCTGTAATGTTTATAGCTGGGAGGAGATTTTCACATGCTTCAGTTATCAATTAAAATTTTGATCAGAGTTTTCAATGTTAACATTTCTTTTGATGCTGTTAATTTATTTGTTATCCAGGTGGTGAAATGTTCCGCTTATTCATAGGTTTTATTTTCTGTGTCAACCTTTTTATATCCTGAGATGTATGTAAGAAAATGTTTTTGTTTCACCTTTTCCTTTGTGGTAGAAGAATTATTTGATAAGTAAATTAGCTGAAGGTGTTGTAGTAAGTTAAAAACAGAAATAAAATATTAATGATATGTAACATAAACAAATTAAAGTATATATATCCTTGGCAAGTCCTCTTTGTAGAATACAGCTAAAGGTTTGTGCTTTTAATGTTGGTGTAAATATACTTACGTGAATAAATTCTGTCAACTAGAAATGAGTCAAGTCCAATGTTCATTGTAGTTTATTTAGTGATTAATGAAAAGGAATGATAATTCTTAAATTGCTGTTCAACACTGACAGGATTACTTGACAGTTTGTTCATATAGGTAGTTCATTGATTGTGTTCATAAGGCTGTTGTTCATCGCTGGCAGGACTACATGACAGTATGTTCACAAATGTAGTTCATTGATAATGTTTATAAGGCTGTTATTCATCACTAGCAAGACTACATGACAGTATTGTTCACAAATGTAGTTCATTGATAATGTTTATAAGGCTGTTGTTCATTGCTGGCAGGACTACATGACAGTATGTTCACAAATGTAGTTCATTGATAATGTTTATAAGGCTGCTATTCATCACTAGCAGGACTACATGACAATATGTTCACAAATGTAGTTCACTGATAATGTTTATAAGGCTGTTATTCATCACTAGCAGGACTACATGACAGTATGTTCACAAATGTAGTTCACTGATAATGTACATAATGCTGCTGTTCTTCTGTAGTAGGAATACATGACAGTATGTTAATAGATAGTTCATTGGTAGGGTTAAAAAGTGTGTTATTTAGCACTAGCAGGATTACTTGACAGTTTGGTCATACTTGTAGTTCATTGATAATGTTCATAAGACTGTTGTTCATCACTAGCAGAATTACAGGACAATTTATTCATACTTGTAGTTCATTGATAGTGTTCATTAGGCTATTGTTCAGTTGTGGATTACAGAACAGTTTGTTCATACTTGTAGTTTTGGTAGCATTCATAAGACTGTTGTTCAGCACTAGCAGGATTTCATGACAGTTTATTCATACTTGTTTTTCATTGATAATGTTCATAAGGCTGTTTTCAGCACTAGCAAGATTACTTGACAGTTTGATCATACTTGTAGTTCATTGATAGCATTCATAAGGCTGTTGTTCAGTATTAACAGGATAACGTGATAGTTTGTTCATACTTGTAGTTCATTGATAGCTTTCATAAGACTGTTGTTGAGCACTAGCTGGATTACTTGACAGTTTGTTCATACTTATAGTTCATTGATAGGATTCATAAGGCTGTTGTTCAGCACTAGCAGGATTACTTGACAGTTTGTTCATACTTGTAGAATGATAGCGTTCATAAGGCTGTTGTTCATCACTAGCAGAATTACTTGACAATTTGTTCATACTTGTAGTTCATTGATAGCTTTCATAAGGCTGTTGTTCAGCACTAGCAGGATTACTTGACAGTTTGTTCATACTTGTAGTTCATTGATAGCATTCATAAGGCTGTTATTCAGCACAAGCAGGATTACTTGACAGGTTGTTTATTGATAGCATTCATAAGGCTGTTGTTCAGCACTAGCAGGATAAATTGACAGTTTGTTCATACTTGTAGTTCATTGATAGCATTCATAAGGCTGTTGTTCAGCACTAGCAGGATTACTTGACAGTTTGTTCATACTTGTAGTTCATTGATAGTGTTCATAAGACTGTTGTTCATCACTAGCAGGATTACTTGATAGTTTGTTCATACATGTAGTTCATTGATAGTGTTCATAAGGCTTTTGTTCAGCACTAGCAGGATTACTTGACAGTTTGTTCATACTTGTAGTTCATTGATAGTGTTCATAAGACTGTTGTTCATCACTAGCAGGATTACTTGATAGTTTGTTCATACAGGTAGTTCATCAATAGTGTTCATAATATAAAAATAAGAAGATGTGGTATGATTGCTAATGAGACAACTGTATATAAAGCAGTTGTTCAGCACTAGTGGGATTACAGGACAATTTGTTTTTAGAGAATACTTGACGGGGATAATAGACAATCTCAGGTGAAGAGTCATTGCTACAATGTGGGGGAAAACATTACTTTAACTGTTGAATTTTTTACTGCACATATCCAACACATATTTGGTAAATTGATTTATTTTGAAATTATCTTGACTTTATTGGAGATATCTGATGTTATATTGTGTACAGTTTGTTACATTCTTACAACACTTTGTTTTTATTTTTCCAGAGGCTAGTTTTGCTGTACAAGCTAGAGCTATAAAAGACTATTTTAATGTTTATGATCCACAGTCACTGACGTTTAAGGAAGGGGATATAATACGGGTAAGTGTTCTCTTAAAAAAGACAGGAGACCTGTACTTTAAAGATTCCAGAACTAATCCTGTTGGTTTGCATAAACTTCTCTGTCTTTTTGCTACTCAAAGGGTTATGCTGTAATTTTTATTACCAACTATTGAACTAACCTTGTTATTAATTCATCTGGATTGTGCTTTTGTGATCGTTTGTTGTCCGTCATCCAACGTAAACTTTTTCAAAGATCTCCGAAACTACTCAAACCATGCACATGATAGATCCTTAGAATGTCTAGATTTTTTGTAAACTATATATGTTACAAAAGGCTTAATTGAATGATTTTAAGGACGTTTGCTACTCATGTTTTTGACTTTTTGATAGAGATTCAGAATCCTCCAGTTTTTTCCATGTAGTGCCAAAAACATTTTGCCCGCTAACCCCTACTTTTCTTTTCATGATTTTTATAACCTATTGTTTAAAAAGCCGTTTTTAAAAATCTTATAAAATCCTTATTTTTCATAGTTTTTTGAAAGAAAAAGGTGCCAATGATAAATGTATGAAAAATCTAGAGAGAATCATTTCCTGCCAAATTTTCAATTTATTAGATCTCAAAAACAAAGACATGGACCTGACATTTTTGAGCTCACCTGGCCCGAAGGGCCAAGTGAGCTTTTCTCATCACTTGGCGTCCGTCGTCTGTCGTCGTCGGCGTCATCGTCGTCGTCGTCGTCGTCAGCTTTTTACAAAAATCTTCTCCTCTGAAACCACTGGGCCAAATTTAACCAAACTTGGCCACAATCATCATTAGGGTATCTAGTTTAAAAAATGTGTCCGATGACCCCGCCAACCAACCAAGATGGCCGCCATGGCTAAAAATAGAACATAGGGGTAAAATGTAGATTTTGGCTCATATCTCTGAAACCAAAGCATTTAGAGTAAATCTGACATGGGGGTAAAACTGATTATCAGGTCAAGATCTATCTGCCCTGAAATTTTCAGACGAATCCGACAACCCGTTGTTGGGTTGCTGCCCCTGAGTTAGTAATTTTACAAAAATTTTGCAGTTTTTTTGTTATGATCTTAGATATCATTATAATATCTAATATCTAATACTATTAATTATGATTTTAACCTTATTTTACATGATTTCCAAAGCATCAGTAAATACAGGTGAGCGACACAGGCTCTTGATAGCCTCAAGTTTCTACTCTTTAAGGTCCGTTATTTATGTACTATCAATTTATAACAATCTTTTAAAAAGCTTGTTATTTTTAAACAGAGGAGCGAACATCCTTAAAGTGTAAAAGTCTGAATGGCAGGTTTCATCCAACCTTTACCTTATTTTCATGTTGATTGGTCAATGTTAAGTCTGTGTGGTAAGGTCGGTTTCTAAGATGATATAAGCTATAAGGTTACTACATTTAGTATACTGAATGATTGTATGGTGGACTTGTCCATTTGGTAGGGTTCATCTGACCTTATCAAATTGAATCATTGATAATAATAATGTTAAGTTTATGTGGTACTTGTAGTAAAACCTTTATCTTAATGACTTTTAACATAAATTCAATGATGATCAGTAAAGCAGCACTCTTGTCTTTATTGTTAGATACTACTGCATGTAGAAGTGGCAGAGTAAATCCTCCCGTCATTTGTAATTGATTTATAATATATGAATATCATTGTAGAATAGGCTTATTTAGAAATGATACATGAAGTTTCCTTGAACTGTGATACTAGGAGATTAGTGTTAGGCCTTCAGTAAATATCATTATAACTAGTTATCATACTGGACCATAGTAGGTATTCTCCTTAAGTGGTTGTTGTGTACTGTTCAAAAATTGTTTCAAATCATGGGTGCTAATTTGTCATACTTCCAAACAGGAGATATTTCTGTCGAAGATTATTTTGGATTATGATTTGAAACAATTTTGCTTTTTGTCATTAAACTGTTTCCTTCATTTAAATTTTTTGACAGGCTTATTAATTAAGATGCCAAAGGTGAACTTCCAAATATTAAATAATGCAAATTGTTAAAATCTATTACTATTATGTCTAATTAGTGCATGAGGTATCACAGTTATTGATAACCTTGCATACTTATAGGTGGCTCCAATTGATTTATTACATTCTTAATTCTTTACTAAATAAAAGCAAATTATCTCCCCTTTACCACCAAAATTTCAATTATTTGTGTTTGAAGTGAAATAGAACTCATCAGGCATCTATATTATTTATTGTGTTGTTCTACTTAGCTGTTCTTATTTTAATTGAACAAAATCTAACAAAAACCTTTATTATTTTATCTTGAATATGTCAACAACACTATTTTTCGCTATTAATTTAATGTAAAAATGCACTATACAAAATCTATTTTAGACAACAGAATTTTAGCTTAGATAAAAGTTGACCCCCTTTTTTTTATTTTTTTTTTTTTTTAATTTAATGCCCTTACTTTAGATTTTAAAATATGAAAAAATTAAGTTTTTCTGACATTAAGTTTTAATACCCTCAAGCCACCTTAATATTTTCAAAACCGAAGTCCTAATGATAAGCTTTTGAAAGATATTGGTACAGTTTAAGGAGACCACCAGATTGCTTTGTTTTAATTTGGCAGCATGCATGGTGGATTTATCCCTGTGTTGGCCATTTTATTTCAGAGTGTTTTTTTAATTTCTCCTGCAGTTTTGTGTTGTTAACAACTTGTCAGTTCTATGGGTCATTTAAAAAGCATACTTAACGGGTTTCGGTGCTAGGCATTTAAGAGCTTACTAAATGCACTGCAGTCATGTTCATTATTGAAGTTTTAGAGGGATCAAGGAGGCTGTGGAATGTAGCTATCTTATGACTGTCAAATGTTTTGTACACTGTAAAGAGGTTGAGGTCACATTAAGCAACCAATAATCAATCAATCAGTCCATTGTAAAGACATGTCTAATAAGACAACTTTGTTAACTAGTTCTTAGATGTTTAATTTTTGTTATAAAGAGTTAAGGTTAACTTATAATGTATTCTGATGTTATTCAGATAAAATGATATTTTAGTGTAAGCCCAACTTAGTGACATGTCACTTATTACACATGATATAAAGATACTTGTTAACATTATGTCATGGATAAGAACATTACTATATTATAATGAGTAATACAACTACTGACTGGGTCCCTGATGATGAAATCACAGAAGTTTGTATGTCCAGTATGTCTGACTGAGATTTGTTTGTTTGTGGTCAAGTGTTATCACTTTTTAAGGTCAGTGTTCTATGAATGATAATAGAAATGTAAAATTAATGTATTGTGAATGTTATGTCAAGCTAAGGTCAAACTAGATAACTATTAAATGAAAGACCTAGACCCACTTTTACTATGGACCTGTGTTTTAGAGCATTTGATCAGTGGTATGTGATCACTGATTGTATGTTAAGGACTATAAGAAGTATGTGTATTTTTAGTTAAGTTTAGCAATTTTCAACATTAAGAAATAGTCTCGTTTTATTCATGTGCATAATTTGTAGACGGCACTTTTTTGTTGGTTTAGATTTTACGATGTGTGTAATTTTTTTTATCTGAAAAGAGTGAAGACAGTTCTTGATATGAAATTTCCTGTATTTTGCAATTAGTCACAGAGGTATTGTATAAGTCCTTGTATTGAAGTCTGTGACATGACAAAGTTTGGATTTAGGGTCAGCTGGTTGTGGAAGCCAGATGCATTTACAAAGCTTAGATTTTAAAAGATTTTTGATAGTGACAACCGTCAAAGAAAACTTGGACGAACTTTGATGGAATAGAATCTCATCCTATTTTTCTCGAAACTTGGATGGATTTTGGCGGGAATTCGCCAAACATAGAAATGATGCAACTACCTCACAACAAAACTGGCAGGAAAAGTAGGATGTAAAATAAAATTGCTATCGGAGAAATGAAATGATAGATGTATTTGTACAATTTCACTTTGTCCATTCTAAAACAATTCCTGAATTGATCCAGGTCCTCACTACCAAGTTCTTTGAAGAAGAGAATTGAATGTATTTCTCTGTCTTCTTCTTTGCAACTAGTATCTTGTCCCCCTTCTTCTCACAATTGTACGATTTCTAATTTACTTTCTTCAAAAGGATTGTTATTCACAGAAGAATATGCTATGCAGTCCTTCTGTGAGAAGTATATTTAAGCATTTTCATTGAATTCCTGCCTTTTTCTGTCACAAAGTTTTTGATGAAAACTCTTGATAGTGACAACAACTGACTTTCACCAAGTTCTCCTGTTTAAAACTTTCTTTTGACCAAGTTTTTGATGGAAAACTTTGATAGTGACAACAGAGCTTTCTCTAGAATTTTTTAAGTGGAAGGAAGTATAAATTATTAAAATCTTTAGTTTGTATGATTTTCATGAGTTATAAAAGCATGAAAGTCAGAAATTGTGGCTTGGGTTTGACTACAGTAGGTTTTAGGTCGTTTTTCGGCATATAGCTCTTCAACTGTTTCGGGTCTTATACATCCCTGGCTTTCAAATATGTGGCTTTTAGAGTTCCTGTTGAAGGTAAATCCAGAAAAGCGCTTCAAACTCATGAAATTATAACGTGTTGTTCTCATATTTTATACAATGAAACATGATCCACAAAATTATGTTATGTAATCCTTAAAAAAAGTTTTTCTCAACAAGAAATATGAATCATAAGATTGAATTAAACCACAGTTGTCTATATAGAACTAATCATGATTGTTCAAATACTTTATACATTGAAAATAAAATCAAGGTATCACGGAATAGGTAATGCAATAGGAAATATTGTCACTGCACATAAAGATATTAAGCTGTGCTTACTTCTGATGTAATTTGCCCTACACTATATTTTAATTTTATCATTTATTGATTTAAAGAGTAGGTAATGTAATAAGGTTTTTTTCCAAAGTTGGTTTCCTACTTGACATTAAATTCCAAAGCCATGACAAATTTTCTTTGACATATCACAAAGTATTATTCATAGTACTCAAACAAATATCGGAAAGGTTTTAAATATTGTCACTACATTCCTCCTAACTTTACAAACATTGGAAAGTTTTAAATGCACTAAATGCTATTCCTACTAACTCTTGTTTGAGTGTATGGTGTTCAGTATTTCTTTCTCTTTTGAACTTTGAACAATTGTGATAACATTTTTACAAGACAACCAAGTGAGATCATGTTTTAATATTTTCACACCTTCTGTTCCTTATTTACATGAACACTTTAGTGTAAATACGCGATTCTTCTTACATTTTTCAGATTTATATGTATTTAAATATTTAATAAGTGTCTTGACTGCAAATTCCTTTAAAAAGAAATTTAATCAAAGAAGTAACTCAGGAAAGGAACAGATTTCACTGAACATTTACACTAAGGACCCTCATTTGGACTGATTAAATGATTTATAAAAAAATTAGTCAAGAACTTTGGGGTTTAAAAAAATCGAACAACAGTAGTGTATTTCTTTAACAGTTAATACTTCTTGTAGAATACAAAGGATTAGTAGTATTTCTAAGAAAAAAATGAAATACTCAGTTTTTTCTTAACATTTGTAAATTTTAATAATATACATAGTGACTTTTCTATTTTTTATCTGAAAAACAACTTTAATTCCTAGACATTTCAAAACTAAGTTAACTCTTTGAAAGACAGATCCAAGTTTATCATTTCAGAGGAAATTTTGTCCTTTATATCTTCAAGTAATTGAGAACTGTTCTGACCACAGAACTAATTTATTAATGGTTACCATGGGAAATCTATGTAATTAGAATAAGTATCATATGTAGGATTAATTAACTGTGGAATATAACACTATATAATGGTAAATAAACAGTCTAGACCGATGATAAACACTACCACCATGTAAAGTTATCTAATTACATGGTACAAATAATAATTTGAAAAACACATCTTGGAAAAAAGTGTCAAATTTAAATTTAAAATGATTTTTATTGTGGGGTTAGCTTTATTTTACAATTTTTTTAACAGATTATGTTTAGGAGAAAGTGCACATTGGGTTCAAATTTAGAATCATTTGCCTTATCTTTGTAAACTTGTCTTCTGTGCAATGCTTCTTAGTGAGATTGAAATAATTTTAAAATATTATGAATGATTTTTTGTAGTGTTCAGGTTAAGTTTGAACTAAGGTCTTAAAAATAACTGTTTTTTTGCATTGCTTTGGATTAAAAAGAATGTGTCCACATTAAAAAAACAAAAAATTCTAATGCACAATATTTTATTGTCATATCTTTGCATTGTTTGGTTCTGGTGTTCAGATGTGTTAGTTAATTCAGAATTATCTATAACATTGTGAGACTGTAGGGCCACAATCACTTCTTATGGAATATTATCCAAGTAGATGTTAGTTATCACACCTAAATTTAACCAAACTTGTCACAGTTAGAATTGTTTTGGACTTAGTTTTATGACAGTGCTGGATTTGTGAATGGATATGACAGAGAACCATTAAATGATGAACTTATGTACTTGACACCCACTGAGTGGCATGTGTATCTCTAGTATGTATAAACAAGAACCTGTTGTTTGTGTATGTAAACATTGGTCAGCTGGTCTATAATCTTCTCATGCTGCTTATGTCTACACTATAATATCTATTTCTTATTGATAAATAACTCTATTTTTACATTTTTGTTGATTAAATACCAAAGAGCATTAAGGATAAATTTACCGAAAAACTCTTTTTTAGTCAACAAAAGTGATTACATATTTAATAATTTTTTTAAATATCATTTAACATACCTTACCTGGGACTATTATGCCATTAGTATAATAGTCCCAGACTTTGCATACTTTTATTTAACCCCCCCCCCTTTTCAAGAAATGGAATGTGAATAAATAAGAAAATGAATTGATTAGTCATAGTAATTGATTTATCAAAGGAAAAGAATTGAAAGAATTTTTATTTTCATATTACAAAACTCAGAAAAAAAAATTAATCCAGTCTTCACTTTTTATATAGATTTATCATTTAGGATCTGAAAAAGTAGTACTTTAATAACACTTCAATGAAAAATTAATCGATATAATCAAAACGATTTCTCTTTATTCTCTTTATAAAAAGATATCAAAATATCAAATACAGCGTTCACTTCTGTATTTAGAATTATTATTTAGTGTACTAAACACTAGCGTATAAAAGTGATTTGTATGGAATGTTTGAAGAAAAGTTAAAGTGTACCTGTAAATGGTTACATAACTAAATGTTTACAGTAAACACTTTATTAAGAGATAACTTTTAAATGTCCTCTCCGTTGGCACGATACCAAACAGTGCATTTCCTAGTTGATTTATGCAACAGTCTATGCCTCAAAATCATGGAAATTCAACGTTTTTTCTGGACAAAATTACATTTTGTTTCCGTGGAAATGTTAATTTTGTAGGGAAACTTACAAGGTACAAATTATTGATTGGATAGAATCAGGATGTAAACATATAGATTTTTATAGTGATCAAAAGGTAATGATTTTTTTCTTTCTATTTTAGGTTTTAGAACAAAGTGAAGGATTGTGGAAAGGATGTGTTATAACAGACGGTCGGACAGCAAAGGCTGGATACTTCCCTCCCGATCATGTGGTGCTTATTGACAAAAGTGGTAAGTTATAGCTAGATACTACCCTTGCGATCATTTGGTGCTTGGTTACTTCTCTTCAGAAAATGGAGTGCTTATTTTACCCAACAATCGGAAGTAGCGGGAGGGGGGTTAGAATAGTTAGTTTAACATGAATAATCATTCACTTACATTGAACCAAGCTGCTAAATCTAATACTCCACATTGGATTTCAATCTCACTTGGATATATGGTCACATAAAGTTAGATGAAGATCCCATTTGATTTTGAGGTCTATAACTCAAAGGTCATGGTTACAGTCACTTACTATTCCTTCACCCTAACTACAAAGGTCATGGTTAAAGTCACTTACTATTCCTTCACCCTAACTACAAAGGTCATGGTTAAAGTCACTTACTATTCCTTCACCCTAACTACAAAGGAGGGTTGGTTAAAGTCACTTACTATTCCTTCACCCTAACTACAAAGGTCATGGTTAAAGTCACTTACTATTCCTTCACCCCAACTACAAAGGTCATGGTTAAAGTCACTTACTATTCCTTCAACCTAACTACAAAGTAGGGATGGTTAAAGTCACTTACTATTCCTTCACCCTAACTACAAAGGTCAAGGTTAAAGTCACTTACTTTTCTTTCACCCTAACTACAAAGGTCATGGTTAAAGTCACTTACTATTCCTTCACCCTAACTACAAAGTAGGGATGGTTAAAGTCACTTACTATTCCTTCACCCTAACTACAAAGGTCAAGGTTAAAGTCACTTACTATTCCTTCACCCTAACTACAAAGGTCATGGTTAAAGTCACTTACTATTCCTTCACCCTAACTACAAAGTAGGGATGGTTAAAGTCACTTACTATTCCTTCACCCTAACTACAAAGGATGGATGGTTAACCTATGTCCTTCACCCTAACTACAAAGGAGGGATGGTTAACCTTTGTTCTTCACCCTAACTACAAAGGAGGGATGGTTAACCTATGTTCTTCCTTCTGTCTGTCCATTCATCTGCCCCTAACTTATTTTTCAGCAACTGCTCATCTGAGTTTCTTGATATTTGGTTATAAACTTCATATTGATCAGCTAAATCGTGTGCTTATCTTCTTTCTCTTGTCTGCTACCACTTTGTTTGGTATATGTTTTTGTTTTCAGCAGAATTATACTATATTAAAAGTAAACAGTTTATTTAAGAAAAATCATATTTAACAACAGCTCCATAAAACACACAAGTCAAGGCTATAACAGCTGATAGCAATGTAAATAAATAACACATAACTTTCTCATTTTAATATAAACATAATTTAAACAAAGATTGTATCAGGTTAGACGTACAAGATCCTACTTTGAAACATATTTATTTTATATCGAATATAAATTTGCCACAGCATATTTGATGCATTAGATACTTTTGCAATCACATAGCTTTCCATGAAGTGTTTATGATTTTGAAGGCAGTTTTTTTGGTGCACTGATTTTTGTTAAATAATATTTTGGCAACATTATTTCAGCTATGATGTCAAGTTACTCTCCTGGTAAGAAGGTAGGAATGCCACAAGTACCAGACGTTATAAGTCGTAACCAACATGTGTTTTCATCAGAGGATGGTTTCCCGCCACCTCCACCATCAGTTTTCTTTCCTCCAGAACGAGGTGAGTTTATTTAGATTTATATCAGAATATAGAAAATAAAGCACTTAAGTTATTAACTTTGTTAGACTTGTGAAAGAAAATAAAGTCTTGCTAGTTGAGATGCGTTATGTTTTTATAGATTCATAGCTAAGTAACAATAGTGTGCTCAAAATTCTGGGAAACAGTTACATAACATTACGTTCTAAATTCTCGTAGCCCATATTCACAACAACTTGGCTCATCCGATTATGGGCAATCACAGTGAAATATCCCAACAAATTGAGGAGGGGGAACTTCTGGGCTTCCTAGTAATTAGAAAATTTTTACAGATCTCCATTGTTGAATGAATAATGAAACAAATATGCGTTAATTTATTATCTGATGTCTGATATAAAGTGGCAATTATTCTAATATATTTGGGTTTTATTTTTAGTGTAATCAAATGGTCTTTATACTGTGAGAAAAACTCTTTAAAATGCATACCTGCACCATCGATCTATTTAAACATGATGTATTGGTTATAAAAACTAATTATTTTTAGGTATTTCATTTTTCCTTTCATCTTAATTGCAGTTTTTATAGAATTTGATGTATTATTATGCCCAGTATAAAATATTTAATGATAAATCATAAAGATTTAGGTATAAAGTAAGCATTAAGGGGCTGTCTACATCAAATTCCAATTTATTTCTCTATTATATCACTTTCTTGGTTAATTTAATATTCACAGTATTATAGTGTATAGTCTTCTTGTATTACATGAATTGAATGTGAAACTGTAAAGTAGTTATTTTATGGTTGAGCTATATTAAATGGGATTAAATATCAAACAGTGGGATCCCTTTCTAAGGGATTAGTAAGAAATAGACTCTTTTGAGGTGATAAATGTCAGCACGAAGAATTAAATGATCAATTTATCAATGGACTGTACAGAATGAGGACAAAAAGTATGTCAACATTAAACTTATTTTGCCCATGTGGGTCTTGATTAAAAAAAATGATTTTTGATATTTTAGAATTTTTCATAAAAAATTATAAGGGAAAAAGCAACAAAATTGTGATAAATGTAAATTATCTTCTATTGTTGTTAGAAAGACTTTAGGCAAAAGTATTGTTCAAAACAATGTCTTTAGGTTGTATTTAAAAAAAAAACATACTTTGGGCCTTGCTTTTGATGTTGAACAAACCATTAACATTAATTTTGTACAAATTTTAGTATTTTTTATTTTTTTTTTTGTAATTATTAGTGCATAGAATATTATATAAATTAAGGTATATTATAGTGACAAGTATAATTAAAGGTAAAAAACACATCATAAACTTATATTAACATATGCCACATGTTTGGGAAAATTATGATAAAATGTTCTTATATTGTTATGCAGCTTCTATATATTTTTTTAAATGATAATTATTAACTTTCTAAATTTTCTGGTTTTTTTTGTGTTTTATTTTTCTGAATTCAAACATTTTCTCAAAAATAGCATTATAGAGAAATAGAAGTAACAAGTTTTTTGTTAACTAGGTTAACATAAAAATGAGTTATATTTGACAGCTGATAAATATTAATGGAACATTATTGAATGAATCTTCAACTTCTGATAATGGTCATTGTAATTGCTCAGCTCTTCTGGTCCGGGTACACAGTTATCGTCCTTTGATTTTCGTTGTCCACGAATATAGTCCCTAGTGTGGACAGTGTGTTACTTGTCGATTTTTTTTATACCCCTTCCGAATTTATTTCTCCATGTTTTATGACTCAAATAGTAAGTAGGGGGGTGAAATGACACTGTAAAAAAATTTGGGTCATGAATTTTAAAGTAAAGTAGTGATTTGGTCCAGCTGAAAAATGTTAAAAATTAGCACATCGGAAGCTGTCAAAAGATTTGAAGACCCCCTTAGCATGAAATTGTCCATATTTTGAGTTAGAGCCGATGAAGTTTTCTATAATTTTGATATAATTTGTCCCAAAAGTAGTACAACACACTGTAAAAATATTATTGAGAAAGCGCAGGTGGGATTTTTTTAATTTCCATTTATTGTCTAAAAGAAATGCACTACGAAATAACTGTGTACTCGGACCTAAGAGGTGAAATCAGGAAATATAGAATCTGTACTTTGGCAACTTCCCTGAATGATTTGATGGTGTCAATTTATCAAATAGCATAAAACTAAAGGATTTAAACTTTTATTTGATAGAATTTCTGCAAAAATGACCAATTTTGGCATTTTATGGTCAAAATAAGCATTTCATAGCTTTTTCAATTTTGATGCATAAGTGGCATTCTGACTTTCTATCTGACAGGTTTTTATGTGTCAATATTTGTGTTTCTATGTTTCAATCCAGTTGTATTACTCATTTGTGAACTCTGAATCTACAGAAAAGAAGATTATCTCAGACAATATGCGCAAAATGTGTTGTATATATGATCCTCGTCTAACGCCCTGTTTGGATCAAGTTAAATGTGAGGAGCTTGGAACATAAAAGTTGAAGTCCATTATAAAGACCTTACTAAATTTGTATAAAAAGCACTTAACAATGTCTTTTGTACCTGTTTTATGTCACATAATACCTTTCTTTTCTTCTGTAGGATAGCAAGTGGTTCAAATATAAGCCTGTTGAGACTAAAATTGCATGCATGTTTTTCACTAAAAAGTGAAAAATCTTTGTATCAGACCATACTGTCTGCAAAAAAAGTTGAATGCAAGAGTCTTTTTGTGCTCAGATTTATTGTATCATGTCACCTGAGTATAGAAATGATAGAAAAGACACAAAATTTTATTTCATATAGCTTCAATATGCATTTTTAAATGTAAATATGTGATACGGCCTAAATTGACCCTAAATTATTTTCAGTCTTACTTGGCCTAAGACCCTTTTAAGCTAATGTGATATGTTATTTGTAAGTTTTCTTTCCATTTAAAGTACATTAAATACATATGTAAGGATTATTTATAACCAAAAAGCTTTACAAATTTAAAATTGCTGGAAAATATTACATCTTCATGTAAGGCCCCCCTTCATTGGAAAACCTCCATTTTTAGCCACAGGCTCATATAAATTTGACTTTTTAATAATTATGATAAGTCTGATGAATCAAATGAGTACTCTATTGCTTTTAATACATAATATATTATATATTAAGGCATTTCAAAAGTATTTTTTTGCAATATTTTAATTTTTTAAGCCTCAATTGTTGATAGTTGAAAATTTTCAATTTTAACGTCTAAATTTAACACTCAAAGTTCAATATAGAATTAGTCATATTGTCTATAATATATATCCTATTGCCATGAAACTTTGTAAGCAGTCTTATAATTTAATAAGCTTTAGTCATACCAAGTTTCATTAAGATTGGTCAACTTTTTCTACCCTATTAGGTCCGGGTACACAGTTATCGTCCTTTGATTTTCGTTGTCCACGAATATAGTCCCTAGTGTGGACAGTGTGTTACTTGTCGATTTTTTTTATACCCCTTCCGAATTTATTTCTCCATGTTTTATGACTCAAATAGTAAGTAGGGGGGTGAAATGACACTGTAAAAAAATTTGGGTCATGAATTTTAAAGTAAAGTAGTGATTTGGTCCAGCTGAAAAATGTTAAAAATTAGCACATCGGAAGCTGTCAAAAGATTTGAAGACCCCCTTAGCATGAAATTGTCCATATTTTGAGTTAGAGCCGATGAAGTTTTCTATAATTTTGATATAATTTGTCCCAAAAGTAGTACAACACACTGTAAAAATATTATTGAGAAAGCGCAGGTGGGATTTTTTTAATTTCCATTTATTGTCTAAAAGAAATGCACTACGAAATAACTGTGTACTCGGACCTTCTGTGCTAGCAGCATTTAAGAAACAGACTATAACAACAGCATCAGTTACTTTGGAAACAGGCTATACAACCATCAAGTGTGTAGGTCATAAATATATTGATGGAATGTCTTCTCTTAGCATTGATCTTTTTTTCTGACCAGTTTATAATTGGAGAACTTTGTTAGGAATATTGATGCAGTATTTAAAGTGAGAATACTTGTACCATACCTGTGGGAATTAGTACATTTTTTTTTCTTTGATGTTTGGAATTTTCTTATCTTACAGACCATGATGTGAGGTATATATCACCACATTACAGTTCTTATGAGGTAAGTTGAAAATAAAGCATGAAAAAAAAACATACATTGAACACAGATATTCAAATATGTTATGCAGAGTTGTAGATATTTAGAAGATCGACCATGACTTTGGTGATTAGATAAACCTATAGGATTGTAATCTGGACTTTAGGATGAGTAGATGTTCTCTGCAGGATATCCAACAGCTCTGACATTTTCAAGTTTTCTTTATGCTTTGTAGGTCTGTATTGAAGGAGAACCATGGTAATTAATATAAAGATAAATTAGCTTTCATTGCAATCTTTTGAAAAATCAATTTCTTTAAACTGCATCACTTGAAAAACTCACAAATAGATCACTTCACATGAAATCTAGCCATATCAGATTGTATTGTAGGCTGTGGGATTTTAGTAAACATGTCAGGTAGGAATTTATTTCAGGTCTGATGCTCAGAATGAATTATTTGTTGATTTTAGCTTCTCCAAGACCACAAATTTATTACTCTTTGGTTCCAAACAAATGCAAATAAGAATATGGTTGCACAAATTCATGAATTAAATTTTGGAGCTTTTTTAAAGCATGACAGCTTTCATTAATTTATTGTTTGTGTCTCATTAACATTCAAGTCACAGCTCCATCAAGATTTTTCTATTGGACAGTAAATAATCAACATTCAGTTTTCATATTTATCATCCCATGACACCTTAGTTATTTCTAAAATGTATGAGGTCTAAGATTAACAGAGTCAAAGTATTTACAACAATATTATGTCATGATCAGTTGTAATTTTGAATTTTGAATTGGTTTTATATTTCTTTTAAAATTTATGATTTTGAAGAGCCAAGAAAAAGATCTTATGAAAATATGGCTGTGTTGAAGGACGTACAGTAACTTATAATTTCTTATATCCACTTCATTTGAATTCTGGTGGAAAGTTGTCTTATTAGCAATCATACCACATCTTCCTATTTTTATATGGAGCATTTGGGAACTATCTGTTTGAGTTCATCATTACTACTTTGATGATGATGGATAACATTCAGTGTCAAATATTCATGAATACCAGGAAGAGAACATATCAAATATGAACCTGCTTTGTACTAGACAGACATGCTGAGCTGGATTTTAAACAAGCTAGTTCATAAGTTTATTCAGGAAGACATGTCATCTTACCCAGACACAATTTTCTGACACTTAGTCAAACCATCTTTGCTCTTTCTCTTAAATGTTGCATGCTTTTCAGATAAAACAGCAAATACCATTTTTCGAGTCTTTGGTTTGACCAGGCTAGGATTGAACCAAAGACCTCCCACACTTAAGGGGAGCATGCTAACCACAATAATACCTTAGCAGTTAGAATTTTGATCAATCTCAGTTTCTAAATATGGAGGAACAAGGCTAACTAATACTGTCCTTCATGCCATGTGTTGACACTATTATTGGACAGAAGAACACTGCCATCTTTTTCTACATGGATATTCTCTTGTCAGTGGTGTTAGTCGTTATATTAGTTTGTAGTGACCACATAGTACTGACAGTAATTGTTTGTGCACTGGTAATTAACTTTTGGCAGGTAACCAGATGACCTACTAGTACTACTTATCGTATTAATTGTTACATGGTAATGTTCTCATCATGTTCTATAGGAATCTTTCCAGTAGTTGTTCTTTTTACTTGCTACAAAGATGCTGTCTAATTTGATCACATTCTACAGAAATCAGCAAGTAGTTCCTCCAGTTACCAATAACCCTTCTCTACTTTTATATCTTGTATGATATAAACCACATATACAAAAGCAAATTTTAATGAGAAAGCAACTCAACAATACAAAAATGCTAGAATTTTATAAATATATGGTTATACATACAACTAAGATTTGATCGTTTGCAGTAGAAATATACCACCCTAAATGTGACTTACCTATAGGTGCCTGTATGTATAGCAACAGTTGAACCATGTCTTTCCATGAAGCTTCTGATTGATTTTGTAACTTATTTCAGTTTTTTTGTTTGCTGTTTTATACCCTCTTTGATTCTATTATTGTCTTTTGACTACCATTTTTGTCTTGCCTCAACAAAGTTCCAGAGGCGAGACTAAAAAATAAGTGTCTGCATCAACAAATGTAAGAGTCTGTGCTTAGGTCAGTTTAAGGGAAACCACTAATTATAAGTCAATGATATTTTGTAGGCATTTGTATTACCAATGGCCCATGTCATTTCCATTAAGATCATTTGACCCAGCCCTTCAATCATGGTTCATTGACTTAAAAACTTTATGTTTTATTCTAGTAAGATAAAGAATTCCTCACAGAACAGTATTTCAGATCAATATTTACTATGTTTAACCTTCCAGGTAGAGAGATTTTCTTATTTTGGTATGTTCAGTTCTACATTTCCTATATTTTAACCTTCCAGGTAGAGATATTTTCTCATTTTGGTATGTTCAGTTCTACATTTCCTATGATTTAACCTTCCAGGTAGAGATATTTTCTCATTTTGGTATGTTCAGTTCTACATTTCCTATGATTTAACCTTCCAGGTAGAGATATTTTCTCATTTTGGTATGTTCAGTTCTACATTTCCTATAATTTAACCTTCCAGGTAGAGAGATTTTCTCATTTTGGTATGTTCAGCTCTACATTTCCTATGATTTAACCTTCCAGGTAGAGATATTTTCTCATTTTGGTATGTTCAGTTCTACATTTCCTATAATTTAACCTTCCAGGTAGAGAGATTTTCTCATTTTGGTATGTTCAGTTCTACATTTCCTATAATTTAACCTTCCAGGTAGAGATATTTTCTCATTTTGATATGTTCAGTTCTACATTTCCTATGATTTAACCTTCCAGGTAGAGATATTTTCTCATTTTGATATGTTCAGTTCTACATTTCCTATGTTTTAACCTTCCAGGTAGAGAGATTTTCTCATTTTGATATGTTCAGTTCTACATTTCCTATGTTTTAACCTTCCAGGTAGAGAGATTTTCTCATTTTGATATGTTCAGTTCTACATTTCCTATGTTTTAACCTTCCAGGTAGATATTTTCTCATTTTGGTTTGTACAGCTTGCCTCTTTGAATGTGTATTAGTACATATGACTCAGGTGCAGCTTTCTTAAATGTTTGTTTCTATGTTGCATATTAGATGTTCCCAATAGAACTTTTTGACTATAATTAGCCCATATATTTCATCCATAATAACTGGTGAAACTTTCTTTGGATCAAATGGCCTGCCATACCTGCCAACTTTTCAAAATCTCCTTTGGGGATTTTAAGCACAAGAGGACCTAATGCTCCTCTTATATTGTCATAAGTGTTCTTAATTTACAACCATATTGTTTAGATGAGTATATATTTGCTTTAATACCCTTTTAACTCATTTGAATCCCTGTTTTGAGGTCTTTAGTTTATATAATAAGAATTTCAAAATTCAGATCAACACCTCTCATGGGGGATATCCCCATAAATTGATAGAAAGATAGAAAAAAAAACCCCAGAAAAACATCTAGCTTATCTAAGACAGGGCCTTGAATGCAAAGCTATTTCTAGAGTATGTGTTTTTTTCTTCTCATTATATCTGCTCTGGATCTACTAGTAGAAAAATCTGTTTTAAAAAATTGAATCTACTGCATGATAGATAATCTTTCCTGTAGAATATTAGGAAAAGGAAGAACACATTTATATCTATATGCAACTAATAAATACAAAATTAAATACTTAAGATTATATTGCCTGGTTTATTCTAACAATTATGTACAAGTGTTTTTGGTTATTTCCTAATCTAATTTTTTGCTCCTTTGATTTTTTTTCAAAAATTTAAAACATGCGCTTATTCAAGGTTATCATTTTTCATTAATGGCTTAGAAACTGTTTAAATTTTGGTGCCTTCATGTTTACAATTAGATTAGGATATAAGTAAATGTAGGTATGATTGTTACATAACACCTGTTAGATGATTGACAGTTAACTAAGTAGAGTTCATTCCCCTACTTTATTTTCCGTCAAGTAATTAAAACTCCTGTAATAAATTACATAAAGATACTAGGCAGATTTATAATATGATATTATTTAAATTTAGTATATTTTTTTTTCACATAGATTACATATTCAATTTATCATTTCTTGATAAAAACTTTAAGAAAGAGCTCTACTTGTATGCACGTTGTGACGAAAAACATTACATCTTAGAAGGTGTCAATTTCAGGATTTAGAATAAAATTTTGATATCAATTTACTCAAACGTGAATATGGATAAGAAATTTTACTACTAACTACATATTTTTACTTATTTATTCATAAAAGATCTACTTATTGTATAGGTATTGGAATTCTATTGCAAGTTAATTAGTTCATTAAGTCTTACTTCCTGTTGTCCAAATTAATTTGCATCGTAATACGCTGATGACCACATATCATTGTTGTGATAACTAGAGCTGAAACAGAGTAAAACGGAAATCCCTAACTCAAACTTCATACTATGAGACAAAATACACAATTGTTTGAGAACTGAATGTCCCTTAATGAATACCCTACAATCATTAATCTCTCCATAGATCTTGTTTTACATCAATTAACTAATTGATAAAGATCTATCTGTTGAGAATCAATAAAGTCATTTAACCATCTGTCACCCTTTCTGTCTCTAATGTAAATACTGATAGCATTATTTTTACTCATATTATTACCCAATAGATTGATTCATTAAAACCTATAATTTCACACTCCAATACACATATTAGTTTCCTATTAATGTTTATGCATGATTTGTTTGGAGTTAAATGTGCCAATTTATGGTAAAAAGTGTTTGATTTAACGATAAAATAACCAAATTTATGAATATTTTTTTTGGAAGATAGTGGTGTAGGATGTTGACAACCATCTGAATCTAGAGAATGTTTTTATGAGTATGAAATTATCATTGATTGATAAGGATGTATAATGTCAAAGTATTGGTTTCCAGTCAGAAATAATCTCTCAGTTTAATTGTTTCCTCTAAATGAAACAGAAAATGTTAGAAGTGCAATTTAATTGG